TTATCGAATAAATTATAAAATTTACTAATAAATAAATAACTAAAACATATATATAAACAATGCAATTTTACCTTCGTAAAATAGGTAATATTATTAAATTAAAACTATAAATATTTTTATTTTTACATAATTTTAATTATTACGCTATTTTTACCAATTAATTAATTAATAATATTATTAAAATATACTCTTAAGCAATTTATATCTTTAATAAAAAAAAACGAAATATTCGTTTCTATTATATAAAAATTTACTTTATTAAATAAGGTATCGACTATTACAATTTTTAATAATTTAATAAACAAACTATTTTCGAAACATATATTAACTTTACTAATACGGTTAATATCCAAGTTATTACAATATTTTAAGTTTTTATTAACAAACATTTAATATTAACCTTTACTTATAATTAATACTTATATTACTCCCGTATTTAATATAATATTTTAAAATACGTTTTTTGTATATTAATTAAAAATAAATATAATATTAATATTAAATTTATTAATAAATTTTTTAAAAGTTAACATTTATAAATTAAATTAATATTAAAAAAATTTATTTAAAAAATAAGCTGCAATTATATATTAACTTTTTAGCTTTTTTTTTTTTCCAATAGATTTTTTAAACTTTTTTACGTTAAAATTTTTAATATTTTCGTATTTAGCTAAGAAGGTTATATAATTTTCTTTCGCTTAACCTTTTTTAGTTTTTTATTAAGCTTTAATTTTCTTACGTTTTTTTTCTAGGTGTTTAATTAATTAGTATTTTTTTTTTATATATTTAATAGCGGTATTTTTAATATTTTAACGTTTTTTAATAAGTATTATATTTATTATTTTTATTATTGCGGTAATATTTATAATTAATATAATATTAATTAATATTATATTTATTGTTATTATTATTTTTGTTATTAATGTTTATTATAAATTAACGTATCTTTTTAAAGTTTTTAAATATTTTAATAAATATTTAAAATTTATTAACTAATTTTTTAAAATAGTGTAACGGAATAAATAATATATACTATAATTATAATATGTTACGGTATATTTTATATATGGCTATAATAAATTACTATTTTTTTTTAAAATTAGGTTTAAAAACGCGTTAATATAGTAATAATTTATTAAATATAATTTATAATATTTTTATATTAAATTTATCTTTATTTTTTTTTAATTTTTATATTATAAAAAATAATAATTATTTAATTTTGGTAGTATTATATTTTATTTTATTTTATATTAAAATGTTATTTTATGGTTATATATATATTTACGAAATACTAATATTTAGGTATATTATAAAAAAAGTAGATTGTTACTTTTTTAGTAAGAATAGTAGAAAATATGGTATGGAATTATGTTTATTAAATTTTTATTATATAATATATGTTTAGAAAGAATCGAAATTTATTTTTAAAAATATTATATATTTTTTTTATATAGTTATTTTTATTTTTTTAAGTTTTTTTAAAATAATTTATAATTGTTAAAGGGTATATTTTGTTAAGGATTTATATTAAGGAAATATTATAATAAGTTTAAGCTTATTAATTATTAACGGATATAAAAGCTTAAGCGAGGGGGTTAAGTACTTATAAAAGCGGTAAAGTTATTTAAAAAGAAAAACCGTAATTTTCGATAAACTAATTTTTTCCGTTTGGTTTGACGTTTGGTGGAACCGTTAACGTTATATATAAACTATCCAATAACGGTTTAAAAGATTCAAACGCATTTTTCGCAATTAAAAAAAAAGGTTATACCTAATTAATTCTATATTTAGGATTATACTTTAAATTATATTTTTATTATTTTATAAAAAGTATAAGTAACTTTTATTGGGTTAATAAAGGAAAGGGAAGGGGGTTAAGTAATATTTAAATATTGTTTTAGTTATTTTATTAAAATTGTATTAATTATTATAAATAATTTAACATATTTTATAGTAGCAAGTTAAGGTTAAATACATAAAAAAGAAAAAAAGAAAAATGTATTAAAAGCGGTAATTAATTAAAAGGTTAAGGAATAAGTTTCGATTATTAAGTTAATGGTAAAACGTTAAAGATTAATAATGGTTAGTTAAAAATAAAAGGTAATATTTATTTTAGCTATAAAATAGGTAATATATATTATAAATTAAAAAAAAATAAGGCTTAAGGCGTAATATTTTATATTAAGGCTTATTTTATGGATATAACCGTATATATTAACGTTTATAGGTTAAAAATTATTTAATATTACTATATTAACGCCTATAATTATGTAAACGCGCGTATAGCGGGGTATACCGGTTTTTTTTTAATTTTATAAACCGAAATTTTCCATATTAATATATTAAACCACTTTATTTTTATTATTTTTAATTTAATAGTATTTTACATGGGTGGATTACGTAATAATATAAGGTTAATAAATATCTTTATATAATTAACGTTATATTTCCCTATATAAATACCTTTTTATATTAATATGTTTTGTAACGTTAATTATAATTATTTCGATAATACTTTAAAATTATTTACCGTAAATTTTTTAAATTGTTTTTAATATTTAACTATTACTTCTTCGATTAAATGTATATATAATACCTTATTATTAATAGTTTTAAAATCTACTAATGCAAAAAATACCTATATTATTTTCTATTTAGGCGTAGCTATTTAAAAATTAATTTTTTCCTATTATATTGCCATATAATTGAATATTATATTAAATATAAATATTCGATTAAAAAAATAGTTTAGAAATTTATGTAACTCGTTTATATTCTTTTATTTAATAAGATTATATATAGCGCAAATTTACACCTACGCTAAGCTTTTTGTTTATATTTTTTAAGACATAATAAAAAAAATTAATAATATGAATAATAATAATTTTATAAATAAAGGGTTTAAGTTGCAATAATTTGCCAAAAATGTAAACGGATTATATAAGGAAGTAAAATTATAACCTATTATAAATTACGAAAATAATGTAAAAAAAGGTGTTAATATTATTTATATTATTACAATAAAAGTTTTTAAATTAAAACAATAATAATTTTTTTAACCTTATTAATTTATATTACTATTATTTAATAGTATTAATTAATATTAATAAATACGTACGTAAATAGGAATAATAATAATAACAATAAAATAATAGTAAATAAATTAATAGTATTAAAATTAATATATTAAAATATTTAAAGAAGGAAGAATTTATCTAAAGCTAACTAAATATAGTATATTCTTATATTTTAATAATAATAAATACCTAACCTTTTTATTTAATAAAATTAAATATTTTCTTTTTTCTTTTTTTATTTACGATAAAGGCACCTTATTATCAATAAGATACCTTTATATTAATGTTACACAACCATCACTTATTTTGCATATTTATCTTATATATTTTATTTAATTAATAAATCTTTATAATTTTTTTAAAATATAATGTTATCATTAATTATTTAAAGCCTTTTATAAAGATTTAAACATTAAAGTAATATACCATATTTTACAAGAAATACCAACTCTTATTTAATATATATATTATGTTATATGGTATCGGTTAAGATTTTATCTTTAAAATTTATATAATTTAAATATATAAAACTTTTAATTATTATATAATTAATACATATTAAATAAGTATTAAATAAAATTTAATTTATTATATTTTTGATAATTTAATTAATTAAGATAAAATTGTAAAAACGTATATTATACCGTTATTTTACATGAGATTAAAGATTTTTAAGTCACTTGATATGGTTAACTAATCTAATATGAAATTAGTGATACAACTTAAAGAAACGGAATTTTACAATGTAGAATCGAAGCGTTCACAACTAATATAATGGGGGGGTGCTCATTAAGAGATCATCTTCTACTCGTAATTAACGATCTTAAACTTGACATTTTTATTATTCCAGTGTATTACTTCGCAACTGGTTCCTCTTTACCAAATCTTACACGATTAAACTCCCAATAACAGAAATTTACTTCTCAGTCCATCAATCGTAAGTTCTAATAACAGTCTAGTTAAGAAAAACATGCCTTGTTTTCCCAGTGGGCTAAGCCAAGGCCTAGAACAGCCCTATGTACTAAGTCGAAAGGGGGGGAGACGGCACCCCTTTAATACGGCACCCCGGTAACAACAAGAATAAGTTAACCAATTATATAATAGGATTTTACCAAGGCTTTATACTTTTTAATATAAATTTAATATATTTTTAAAAAAAAACTTTTTTACATTTTTATTTTTATTTATTTAATTAATTAAAAGTTTTTATTTTTATTAATATATTTTATAATATTACATATAATTAATTAATTTTTAAAAAAATTATTTAAACCGTATGTAAAAGTATATCGTTATAAAAAACTACTTTTAATTAAGTTATTTTAAAATTTACACTTATTAAACAAATTAAAAACCGTAAATTAATTATTAAAGCTTATTTTATATAATAATTTTTCAATTTTATTTTATTTTATAAAAATTTTAAAATGTTTTAATTTCGAAGATTTTTATTAATAATAAACCTTTTAATTAAATGGCTACTTTTAAAAAATCACGTAATATCGTTAAAATTACATAATAATATTTTCGAATTAAATTTAATAAACTAATTAAACGATTTATTTTTAAAAAAGTAAAAAAAAGTGTAAATATATATTTATGTTAATTAATTACCTTTTAAGCTAAATGTAATAGCTTAAAGTAGTTAATGGCTTGGTTAAAACCTATAAAACGGGTTAAAATTAACTTAAACTTAAATAATATTTTTATTTAAATAAAAAATATTTATTACATTAAAAAAGAATTAATAATAAAGTTAAACTTAATTAAAATTAATAATTAAATTTTATTGGTTAATTTATATAAGTTATGTTTAAAATAATAGTTAAATATTTTATAACTAATTATATATTAATAATTTACCTTTTTCCCTGTAATGTACCGCGTTATACCTAAAAAGGTTAAAACCAACCCGGGGTACCGTATCTAAGGGGGTGCCATATCCCCCCCCTTCGACTTAGCAATGAGGCAATTGTGGACGAGGCAATTATTAGTTGACTTGGCATCCTCGCAGAGACAAGGTTTTGGCAAATTTTATTATTCCTTACCATGTTCCTTTCGCCGTGTTGGGAAACTAAAACTTCGGTTGATCTTACGGCGACATCATGGAGAAGGGAGTCGAACAGCGAGACGCACCCGTTGCTGCATTGCGGCCGGTCGACACGAAATCGGTCGGCGACAAGGATGTCGCTATTGCGATGGTCGGAGAGGAAGGGCATGCGGTTGATCCCGTCGTCGTCCAGCGTGCCGTTCGCAAGATCGATTGGTTTTTGATTCCAGCCATGACTGTTGGCTGTAAGTCTTGATCCTTTTATTCGACTCTCAACAGCGCATGGCTGACTTTCGTATCAAGATGGGCTCGTGTATTACGAGAAGGTAACATCAAACGTCTTCTATTCCAGTAATCCCGGCAATCCCAGCACTTACACAATTTTTAGGCTATTCTAGGATCTGCAGCCCTATTCGGCATGACGGCCGACTTGAAGCTCAGCGTCCCGGATCCGCGGCACCCACCCGCGGTTGACACGTCGCGGCTCAGCTGGGCAACGTCCATCTTTTATTTCGGCATGCTGGGAGGGCTTTACCCCATGTCATATGCTCTGCAGCGCTTCGAGACGGGACGTGTCCTCGGAGGCGTCGTTGTTCTCTGGTCTTTGATCTGCATGCTCACTGCTGCGGTGACCTCTTATCAGGGGTTATATGCACAACGCTTCTTCCTGGGTTTTATTGAGAGTGTCATTCCTACGGGATTCATGTGCATCACCAGTGGGTATTATACGCAGCAAGAACAATCTCTGCGACAGAGCTGGTGGTTTTCCTCGACCGGGCTCTGGACGATTATTGGTGGCGCACTCAACTATGGATTTGCCCAGATAACAGGGGGTGGTCTACGCCGGTGGCAATACATCTACCTCTTAGCTGGATGTCTTACATTTATCTTTGGCCTATTCTGCTTTGCCGTTCCGAGCTCTCCTGTGTCGGCGTGGTTCTTGACTAAAGACGAAAGGTTTGATGCGGTGGAGAGACTACGATACGGTCAAACTGGCGTTCGCTGTACCAAATTTAAATGGTTGCAGCTGAGGGAGGCTGTGTTCGACATCAAGATATGGCTAATAGCTATCATGATGGCCTCGGCTTATACCGTCAATGGTGCTGTCTCTGGCTTCGGTCCTTTAATTGTATCAACGTTCGGTTGGAGCACTCTGGAGTCTATCGTCTTCCAATTTCCACTGGGAGGTTTATGCTTGATCACAATCCTACTCACAGGCTGGCTTGGATCGCGCTACCCAAATATTCGCATATTGATGCTGATTATCTGTTGTCTTCCAGTCATAGCAGGTTGTGCCATAATCTGGAAGAGCCAGTGGACATATCACGCTGCGGCACCTGTGGTAGGTTATACGATTACAGGTACCTTTGGTGCCGTGGGAAGCTTGATCATCACGATCGGAATGTCCAACGTTGCCGGGCACACCAAGAAGAGCTTCACCTCGGCGACTATCTTTGTCGCATATTGTGTTGGTATGAATCCTTAACCAATGAACTATTCAGTCCATGTATTCACCCGTATCTCAATAGGAAACATCATCGGACCGCAATTGATTAAGAGTTAGACTAAAACATCTCATTACCCCGAGCTATGGCTTGGACTCATCATATGGTTCGTGGACAACTTCTAGTCGTCTCCTCCCCTCCCCTCCCCTATGCCACCTTCTAATTTATTCGTCATAGCTATTGTATCACCATCATAACTTCAATAGCCCTCTTTGTAGTTCTCAGACATGAGAACCAAAAGAAAGGATCCGCAATGGTGGAAGATGAAGCCGAGAGAGCCAAACTTGCGTTCCAAGATCTCACGGATAAGGAAAACCCCTATTTCAGATATGTCATGTAGGACTGGAATAAAGATCTCTGATGAATGACGCGGAACCTAATCAAATTTATTCCTTGGGATTCTCTTCTTGTTTTGTCTGGTTATTTCCCAGTAAGTATTACTATTAAGATTCCCGCCGTTACTTCGTCATCCCTTCCTGCTTTGGGTGTGAGCCAAATATGCTTTTGAAGCGTGTGGAAAGCTTGGATGACTTCACTTCCCCGCCCTCCTCAGAAATGGAGCCCAGACTCATAAGGCTACTTCTACGGCACTTCACAGCATCGCCAATGGATTCCATGTCGTGCACTATCGCTTCCTCCCGTGTTCCTAATTATTACAGAGCTGTTAGTGAGCCCAGACCATCTGCAAATAAACGAGGGAAATAGCGCATACGGATATTACCAGCACCTCCTATTCCAAATGATCTACGACGTTCATCTCCGACCATGGCTAGTATGCTTTAGCTTAGAGTGCACGTCGCCGGGATAAACTGAGAGATTATACATATGGGTGTTCTGCGTGGAGTTGATGAGCGGCAGGTGAGAGTGTTGGAGTAGAAACTAAGCCCTAGGTCTCTTTATTGTTTATAACGGGATAATGGCCGTTATGTATGTCGATAAGATGGTGTGTATTGATATTCCCGGTGGCATGATGTCCCCTCGTCTCACTGGCGGCTCATTTCCCCTATTAAAGATAACCCAGCCGCCTTTCATTGGCTCCTCACGATTGACTCCAGATTCGCATATCTAGAACAAGCATTTCATCGGGATCAATGTCGTCATGTTCCATAAAGCTTAACTGATTCGTGTGGTAATCGATCAATGTTGGAGATAGAGGCGCGGGGCATTACTGGTTCTATGACACCAAATGTCGCTGAATAATGAGATCACCTAACGGCTTTGAGTTAGCTTCTGCTGAGTTCCCAGAGGGAATTGACTGTCCTCCAATTCACAAACGCATGGTACGGGGAACTTAACCACATGTATTAACATAAGTAATTACCCCCTCTGTCGAATAATATTCAGTAGGGGCTGGTGTATGTAGTGTTATTCCAACACGTATAAAGAAGGGCTGCTGTGCTACCCAGAGGATTACCTGGTTAGTAAGAAACACGCCTGGCTCATTCTGGTAGACACCCTATTATATTTGACGAAATGGGAACTGAGCATCATCCCTTAGGGTTGAGCTTCTTCGTCCTCCAATGGTGCCTATTCTATTCACTTAGACTAAATTATTCATAATATATCCCTATTTGTATGACGACCTTCTATTAGGGGTCTCCATGGAACATCCCAGATGCCTGAGAACAAGTATTAGTGCCTAGTCTTCCACATGTTACTTATTCACAGCTGATCTTGGGCCGTTCTAACAACATGATCTAATAACATGATCGTGGCTTCGGCAGTGCTCTCAGAAGATCTGCATACCCCCATGTTCCAGTATGTGATAAACCCCCCTAGTTGCGGCCTCCAGCTAAGTAGCAGAACAAAAGAGTTGGATGTTGATGACGGTATCAATATTCCTAGGTTCAATGTTATGCTTCTTAAAGACATCAATATCCTCAACATTAGGAACTATAGTGCGAACACTTCATCACGCAATTTCCTTACGAATATGAAGATATTAACATTACGGAACCTAGTTACATTCTCACAGGTGGTATATAATACTACAGCAAATGTTTCAATGTATGACAGTGTTATTAACTTGAGTATTTGCCCTGAATGGGTGTTCAAGCAATTCCATAGGCTCGAAATATAATATTAGGAATAGGGGGTTGTACTAGCTGCTTATTACTACCTGCCGAGTAAACAGTATAACAAGCATTTGCTCTTAAATGGTTGTATATGAGTCTCTAATATCCCCTTATTAATATGGCACTTAATACACATTCGCATCCCACTGATCTCAACACTTACAATGCATAGGTTAGGTACTTAGGTACTTCATACCTTACTTTAGGTACCTCTAGGTTAGATGATTGGCTGCATGCTATAAAGTGGATATGCTCAGGTACCTAGGAGGTAGTTAGGTATCTGCGGATATTCGGATATTCGGATATTCGAATATCCTCTGATCGGAATACTATTAAATGCATACAACACTTTATATAATTGACGGCTTTGGGCTTTTGCGACTTGGTCAACATTAAATGCTAAGTCCTGACAACAACCATGGCCATAAATGCGCCAACGCCTTCCTACTCCCAGATACCTGATATCAGATTGGAGGACTACCTTGACGACAAGCTTCAGTCCAGCACCGACTTCGAAAACCTCGACAGCCTACTAGCAAGCGTAGAAGTCCAACGCAGCCAGCTCCAGGCTCAACTCGACGATGCGACTAGGGAGCTTGAAGATGCTCGTCGTGCATCCCAGGACCACCAAGGGGGAGTCTCTCGATCAATAAACGAGTTTAATGCGCTACAGGAGAGCATCGATGTCCGCTTAAAGATCGTTGCCGAGTCTAGCGCACCCGATGAAGCCATCCGACGCCTCGAGCAACCTATGAAGCAGCTACGCAAGGTCGAGCTCGCCTACCAATACGTTTCGCTACTGCATGATGTTGAGAACCTAAGGCTTGAGGCACGGTCTCATCTTCCGCAGAGTCCTAAAGCCGCATTACAATCCTACTCGAGGCTCAAGAAGCTAAGCATGCGGTTAAGGGAACTACAGGGAGCAGCAGATCAAGCCGCCACGCATCTTGTGAACCATGTCGAGGGAACCACGGAGAATCTATGGGAAGAGATGAAGAATACAATGTCTAAGGAGCTAGAACATGTTCTCAAGGAGCGTAATTGGCCACAAGGAATTGATACCGGTGCCGAGATGGACACCGAATGGCTACAGTGCTTCGAGAAGCTCATCGATTTACAGGCGCCTGAGGTGGTCTACTCGAATAAAGTAGTTTCGCTACTGCCCTTCGAAGTGATGGCAAAGCCTTTCATCCTATGGTTCCAATTCCAGTTCATGGGTAACAACGCGACAAGTGGCCCCCAGTCATTTGGAACTTTCTGCGTACCTCAGTTCCTAGCGCTGATCGATAAATGGGAGGGCTTCTTCCGGGACAATGTGGGCTACGTTCTGGCATCCCGATTCCAAGATACTAAAGTGCGTGGCCTATCTGTTTACATGGATCCCGCATGTGCCCTTATCACGGTTCTGCTCCCAGTGATGAGAGAGAAGATAGATACGCTAGTTCAACACGGCCTCAAGAATCCGCAATTTTTGAGCAGTCTCATGGTACAGCTGATGGATCTAGACGATGAGATACGATTGAGGTTCAACTATGACGGCGGTGATCCAGATCAGGGCTGGGCCGGTTTGACGTCGGAAGTCCTTGAACGATACTTTGACGATTGGTTCAAAGCAGAGAAGGATTTCGCTCTGGAACGTTACCACGTCATTATGAACTCCCCCGATGCTCGAAATATGGATTATGATTACAGCAGTGCTGGTAAGATGAAGCCAACGTTTGGTGCAGTGAGAGTGACGGACTTGTTAAAGTCTGTCACATCTCAATATGAGCGAGTCCGCAGGTTCTCCCACAAACTCCGATTCCTCATCGATATTCAGCTTGAAATTCTAGATGACTATCACGACCGCTTCAAGGATTCGTTAGACGCATACTATACAATTACCTCCACTCTGGGCCGTACCCTACACGGCGTAACTAAGGAACAAGCCGCCGCATTAGAAGGCACTGGGGCATTTGAGACTCTCTGCAAAGTCTTGGGCAGTTCTGACCATATCATCGCTACTTTGAAGGATTGGAGTAACGAGGAGGTAAGTTTTAATTCTCCAGGTGCATATATCGAGCCCTTTACTGATTTCGGATAGTTTTTCGTATCTCTGTGGGAACAGCTCCAAATGAGGGCTAAACATACTCATAGCGATGGTAACATTGCCACCGGAATGAGTTATGAAAATGTTAAAGATAAGACCTCAGCAGATATTAGCTCCGACGGCGACAGTGGCATATTGTTTGATGAAACTATCGCAGCATATGCTCGCCGTCGGAAGGCCGCCGAAGAATACCTAGTCTCAGCATTGGTTGACTCTCACCAGAAAGCATTCCGCCCGTACTTCGCCAAGGCTCATTGGACTACAATTAGTGACGATACCCACTGTAAGCTCTATTATTCGAAACTCACCGCGAGACGGCATGCTAAATATTTCCAGTGGACACTTCCCAGCTTTCTGTAACTCCAGAGTTAGACGAACCTTTAAAGGTAAAAATTTACTCTCGACTCATGGGTATCCAAAATCGCGGCTGACATCACTCTAGATACTCAAACGAAATCTTACCTTCCTTACCTCTACATTGAGCGCCGCCGTTTATCGCCGGGTATGGCGGGAGGTGTTAGAGAAACTACAGGATGCAATATGGACGACGGTGCTTATGGCGCAGAATTTTACAAGCGTCGGTGCCGCCCAATTTGCAAGAGATCTAGAGGCTATCGCTTCTCTGATAGACCGTCACATCCCGAATAGCTCGATCGCGCTTAGTACACTACGAGACGGTGCGAGGCTATTGAACCTGCCCCTGGAAGCCGCGGACGGGGCCATATCTCTCCAACAAGCGAGCGACCGTGCATTCACAGATAATATGGAAGCCAAGAAACTTTTGGCTGAACTGGATATAGAATCCCTCACCCCGGCAAATGCCAGGAAGATCCTACAGAGGCGTGTCGAGACTAGCGAATAGATAAAATTATGTCTGTCTTCTATAGGTCTCCAAATATAGTTCAGTTTGCGCCCTAATACCGGTCTAAGTACGAAGTGTTGAATTGCTCCCAAATGAGATCTATCGTGGTAAATCCCCCTATCTCGCACATCTTTGGTTGAAACCCAACGCCTTATCATATGACCTAAGCCCAGATATTCTCAGCCTCCTTACCCCTGATTACCTGCCTACCTCTCAAGTTTGCCTTTTAACTCATAGCACGCATTGTCGCCTCCACCACGGCGAACGTACCCGCGCTTACTGGCATGGCTCTCAGTAGCGTGGGAGCAATGCCCTTCCAAAAGCCACGTGCGCCCTCGGCCCTCCATGTCTGCGAAAAGCAGTCCCGCATCGTCTTATACTTCATCTCGCTACCAAAGCCATCGGTTTGCATCTTGCTCTTAATGACGTCAAAAGGGTAGCTAGCAAGCCAGAGGGCTTCGCCGGCCAAGCCACCGTACAGCGCAACCTTGTAGCTGGGAATGTCGGCTCGCTCAACGCGGTTCCGCGCCGCGTCGGCCATCATCAAGTACTCGAAAGTCAGAAACCACGTGCCGTAAGCAGCGGCCTCGCGCCAAATCGTCACGGCCTCGCCGCGGTACAAGCCGCGCAGCCCGCCGCCGCGCGAAGACAGCTGGCGCACGCAGTCGAGAGGACCAGAGTACAGGCGCGCAGCGCCGTGGGGCTGCGTCTGCAGCCGGATACGCACGTGCTCGATGGGCCCTGAGATGACGGAGTTGGCGACGCCGGCAAAGGCGCCGGCAGCGAAGTACTGGCCGAAGGACAGGTCTTTGGCAGAGGATGATAATGATGAGGATGAAGCGGCGGCAGTGGCATTCTGGGTCTCGAAGTAGCGCCGCGCGTACCCGAAAGCGCCGAATTGGATGGACACGCAGGCTCCGATACCAAGGAGAGGGGTTAGCGTGCCCTTGTAGAACGCGAGGGGGCCCTCTTTGGCGTAGATGGAAGTTGCGGCATCGAGGGCGGATTTGTATGCTGTGCTTGTTTGGAGCCGGACTTTGACTATGTCGAAGGGTTGGCCTGTGGAGGGTTAGCGACGAGGACAGATGGTTAAGTTAATTTGATGTATATAGGTAAATTAGGATTCTTGTCTCCATCTCTTTCCCGGTCATGTCTTTCGTATCTACGAGCGTTTTGAACTTGCCAAAGCTTAACGTCGTTTCCATGATAGCTGACATCCCAACCATCTATGTTTATAACTTCTGACTTAACCTTACAACATCCAGCCATTATGACTGATGGCGCTATAATGAGATGAATCTGGAAAGAGTAGCCTACCTATAAGAACCTGGGCAACTCCTCCGGCAGCTCCTGCAACCAAGTCCTTTGCGGTGTCAAGAGCACCGCCTTTGGCGTCGAGGTCCTGAGCTGCGTCTCCCATCCCTGCCCCGCGCACAATTGAATACCTATGAAGTTCTCGTATATCGCTCAGAACATAGAAGGTCAATTGGACTTTAAGCTCGAGTTTTGATTAATTTGTGATTAACGATTTGCTGCGAGACGGGATGTAGTGAACTTGGCCGATATAGGAGATGACATGAAGTAAACAATAATCGGCGAAGGTTCAGGTGAGAGATATCGGATTCACCTTATCAAGCATCGTTTTGGTGGGGCACTAAGAAAGATAGGTTAGGTACCTAGGTAGGTATAACCTAACCTAGAGGTTATCGATAATGGAGGGGTCCAAATATACGCCGCCGCTCGTGCTACCATTAGAATGTGGCGCGATTCGTTGTACCTAGTGCGAAACCCAGACAGCCTACCACTATAGCTTAAATAACTCTGAAGCTAAGCACGTTAGTAATTGTATAAGTCCAATATAAGTATGATAGGTACGATTTTATAGGTTTAAGCTTGTTTTCCGGTGTAAATATTTGCATTTGTGTTAAAAGTCAGCACATTATCTTAATAGAGACAAGTTTAAGAAAGGGGAAATAGCGCTTCGATCTTCAAAGTACCAAAGACTTTTATTATGAAAGATTAGAGTCCTACAGCCTTCAGGTCCAACAATAAGATACTTCGAGTTTCTATAATAGGTAGTTACCTATAAACTACCTCCTACCTATATATATATATTGGCAACTTTGATATCCCACCACTTTTACCATGTATAGCCCTGGGTTCCCGTAACTACCTATTTAAAGCTTCTCGCGGAGCAATGAAGTTGTTTCCATGCTTCTTGCTTCACCTCATAACACTGCGTACCTAGGTAGGTACTGAATGGTTATCAAACTTTATAGCTACTCGGTGCCTTCCAGGACTAAAACTATCTTCTAGCTTACTCTTTCATATTAAACAAGCATGTCTTCTCTTATAACTAAATTATCTTCATATTTCCCCTTAGCTACTAGATAGTTTTCTCATAATCTCATCAGTATCAAGCTATCACTTGGCTGTGTCGCTCGCTTAGCTCCATCACCCATTTACTGAATCGTATTTGCATTTACTACTCAGCGCCACCACGATGGTTTACTTTATGCAATTTTGTACCAGCAGTCTTTGCAGAAAGCATCCTCAATTTGGTGATCTTGGAGCCATTGCTGCTTGTCTAGTGGCTCAAGAAGGAATCCTCCGCGATACTTATCAACAAAGCATGGGAGATCAAGCAATAACTAGTCAAAGAGCCGAATTACTTTCCGTTAAACTAGCACTCGAGAAAGCCCTGGCAATACACCAACATTTGCGTCTATCTCATTCAACAATTGTATCTGTTCTTTCGGACTCCAGATATATCGTCGCATGCATGACAGAATTGCTTTCCGCATGGCATAAAAATAAGTGGAAAAACCAATATGGAGACGACATTTTGCATCTGGACCTGTTCAAGGTTGTCTACGACCTAGACAAATGCGTCAAAAGGACTGGGAGTATCAGCTATGGTTATATTCCAAGACAGTACAATACGCATGCCTGCTCAGTTTGCAGCAAAGCTTTAGATAACCTTGAATTAAGTCTAAGGATACGCAGTACCGAAGCTGAAAGAACGGCGACCGCGATGATGACTACTACTACTAAGCATGGACCTCGCAAAAAGGAAAAAAGGTAAAATACGACACAGTTAGAGATCAGCGTCACTAGGTGGATACCTAGCTCTATAGCGAAAAGGAGTAATTATTGATTTCATAACCAGTATGTCCAGGCCAGATGGTTCAAAGTTTTCCCCTTCGCTATCATCATTGACCGTGACGTACAGCTCTTTTACCCACTCCATCGATAGAGCATTAAATTTCATACGAGGTAGGCTAGACGATTAAGCGATTGCAAAAAGAAATGAGTACAATATGGATAAGCCGATATAACCTTTGTAGCACCAAACACCTTGAACGCTTCCTCCTTGGGCTGTAGACGACGCTGTTGGCGTAGCAGCAGTGCCTGAATCTGTACCTTCTGGAAGGGGCGTCGAAGTGCTAGTTGAAGATGGAGAGCTTAAACTCATAGATGCCGATGTAATAGACACACTCTGTGTTTCTGATGCCGTGGTTTCGGAGGCTGTTACCCCAGAACTTGTCTCCTCAACAGCCGTGCTTGTGCTACTTGCAGTCGATGTAGCAGTGCTACTCGACACAGTTGTAGACCCAGATGTAGACCCAGATGTCGGTGTCGGTGTGGTGGCCTCGCCCAGCATCGATTTAACCCATTCCGCCGCTGCGTCGGAGTAGACATCAAAGTAGTTTAAATGGTGTTGGACATTGTATGTTCCTTTACCATCTCCCGCTGCGCAAATTGGATCATCCCCCTGACACCAGTCTCGGAGCACGCCTGCAAAGTTGTTGATGCCCTCAAGTTGCTGGCCACTTCGAGGGAATAAACCATTGATAGTCGCACCTTCTAGTGTATTATACGGCTGGTTGGCAGTATGACGGGTATCGCCAAAAAGGAGGGCAACTGAAACTATATGCCAGATCATCTGGTTAGAGAAGGTACTCGTTTTGACGCTGCGCCGTATGCTACATAGTACGGACAGGGGATCCAAACTTACTCGAATTGCCAGGGGCTGAATTTGGATCTAAGCCTGGAACCGTAGGCGTCGTGCAGTCCTGAAAGAAAACACCGCCACCGCCACCAAGGATGTCGCCCAAAACATGGGCGCCCTGAGAGTAGCCGCTCACAACAAGCTTCGTATCCGGACATCGCTTGTTGTAGTCGGTTATCTGGGCAATGCCAGCTTTGCGACCTGCCTCCACGGCGCTGCAGTATTCAACTGCCAGAGCATTATCGAACGCGACGTCCTCGTAGTCGCAGCTCTCGAGCCCCGAGCAGATAGCCTGCACGAGCTTTCCCTGACGGCCGGGATACGGCTCATTGTTCCCTCGAGACAGAAAGATGTGGACGTCGGTGCACGTGCCCAAGCCGGTCTCCTGTGCGGCGACAATGTCTAAGAAGACGAAGGCCGACAGCAAAGCCAGGCATTTAAGATCCGGCATGATGAACAGCTGCGGAGGAGACCATTACCAAAACATTGCTGCGAAGTTTCAAAATATTTATGATCGACCAGACTGGAAATCATGGCCTTTTCAAGCGGTTTTTACGCATGAAGCTCCGAGCTAGGTTAAAGACAACGACCAATGGCACGGCGTATTGGTGGATCTGGTGATAAGAAATGTTACATCGAAGATCCTAAATGAAATGAATTCGTATCCATGTCCATTAGCAACTAACTAACATCTAACTAGCTAACCTCTGTTAACTAGAATCTATTCTCTAAATAATTTTTGTTACTAAGTGGAGTTTCACGTTTGCCTACCTGTTTAGGTATCTTCGCAATTACTACCTAGGTATTGTACATAGCTCTTAATTGGGAGTTCAGTTAGGTTAAAGGGGGTCCAACATATTCCGTAAACATAGGTATCCTTACTTGCAGCTCAATGGATCCACTATGAGGTTAAATAGCGTGGGTTAGTCAAAGACAGTATATGCTTTACTTGAGATAGTAATAATATAAACATAGCCATCTTGGGTTTATTCAAACCACAATTAAATCATAGAAAGCGCTGTTTCGTTGATAAATGTGTATACAAAGAGTGTATCCTCTACTAAATACCATTCAAACCAAATGACAAGTGGTTGGTTATATATCCAGAAGTTTCCTCGTTGTGAAGCTATCCCTATCGTCTCGAATACGACATCCTAGCTTAGAGAATGGAAGTTATAAACCCCTTTCAAAAATATTCTAACTGAGACTCTGTACTACGAGTGAATTCAAGTAGCCTAAGCAGTCCAACATACTCCCGAACCAGGGCCAGGTTGGCATTGGATTCGTCCGCCATTACAACCATAGCACCCATTATCACCCAAACATTGGCACTTTCCCGGTGTGCAATCGACATGCTGCATTAAATATCCACTGCAGCGTTTTTCAAACTCAGACTATGGAAATACTTCTTAGTTCATGTTGTAGTAATAACAGTGATGTGCTTCTGCGTCGGTAATCTATAACGAGCAATGGTCTTAGAGACCAATGAATTAAGGAAACGCACTCACAGTTTCACTCGCTCCGAAGAAGGTGTAGTCGCCACTTGTGATGGTACTAAGTTCGACCTCTGGTGTGTCCCCTGCAGGATGAGCGATAGCATTGCCGGCAGCGATGGAGAGAATAATGATGACAGGTTGAAAGAGCTTCATACTTGCAGTTAATTTGGTTATTTCAGGTTTGAATTGGTGGAAAGAGAAAGATAGATGCATCAGAATAAAGTCGGCTTCTATTATTGTGGTATAGTGATGGTGATGACTTCGGAAAGGTGAGGAAGAGCACTCTCGCTACTTCAACTTATATACCCCGTCTTTACGCAGTACGAGAAGCTAATTCCTAGAAGCGTCGAGGTGTCGCAAAGGCCTAGATATTAGTTAGAATCGTAGACGGCGGACAATGATATTATTTGCATGCAGATTCGAAATAAATAACTCATTCTAGGACTATGGCTGACGTGTCTCGAATTCTCGTCTCGCACAGCAGTTATTATATTAATTTTCGAAACTATGAAAAGGAGCCTCTGATATTCACCTGGTTCCAATCAACCACAGAGCGTAGATATATATGTCTCATCCTTGTACTCGCCAAGAAAGGTCGAGTAACACCATAAAATAGGGGCTGTTATGCGTTAGCTACACAAGCACTCTGTCGAAAATAGCATTTCGCAAGGTCAGTCTTTAGGGAGCCTATCAAGCTTGCACTTGAGGATTATTGGCAGTCTATATTGTCTCATTGATTCTTGGTCTATAGGAATATGTCAGTCACACAGTCACAATTGCTCTAAGCCTCTAACTTACTGATACGCAAAGGGGGCTATAAGTTTCATAACAGTTACAAGCATATCTCAACTTGGGATAGTTATTCCATGTATTAAATTAGAGACCTCCTCTCTGAATCTACAAGGTAGCAACACGGCGAACTGATACATCTCATTACGAACTGGCAATATTTAGAGCTACGCAAAGACTTCATTGAAGGTCGACTTGTTCTATAATTCCCCTACATGCCTACATAGCCATCTGCTGACTTGCTATGCACTTAATAAGATTTATCAGGAAGACTGGTGCTCAGGTGATAAACACATGCATCTATCTATTTAACCCGAACGTGCCGTTATATACACTACTAATGCTAACTATCAATTCACCTGATCACCAAAACAGCACTGCTCATATGACTAGTTTAGTGATCCGTATTCTTGCCACTCTTTCATTCATGTCTCTAGCCTAATTATATGCAAGTGACTTACCCGGTATTAGGTATTAATATTTAGAACTCAAACGAGGCTGAGCTGGTGCGGGCGTGCGGCGCCATTAACATTATTGCTTTCTATGTCTGTAGTCTATATCTCTATCCCTCAAGGTCCATTTTTTTTCAGTCTATATCCGGTTCCGTTTCCTGTCCCCGTGCCGTGAAATCAAAGCTTGAAATCAAAACCGTGCGCGGTACTGTTTCCCGTAAACCTGATAATCGCTAAACCCAAAGTATCAACTATAGTTCCTCAACATCGTCAAACCAGACATGACCTAGGGCATCCCGCGCCGTGATTCTCCTCCGGGGATCAAAGTTGGTCATCTTCTTAATCAAATCCTTGAAGTCTGGGTCAAGTGAATCGCTTTTCCAAAGCGAAAATGGTCTTCGAGGGTTCTTGGAACCGAAAGAGTCTTGCAAGCGAGAGAGTTCGCCGACCCAGGGATGTCGTCGACCAAGGTAGTCGATGAAAGACTCGTAATCATTCCACTCGGCAAAAGTGGAGATTTGCCGCTCGAGGATGGCGTTGGTAAGATCGACATTTGGCGCGCTGTCGATCCGGAAGATGACCATTTTGAGACGCATAAATATGAACTATACTAGCATTAGTAGCCGTGACACATCATAAGTAAAGGCGGTCAGACTCACCACTAGCGCCAAGGAGAATATGTCGGAAGGCTTTCCGACCGCGCCCTGTACGTGCGCCTCCGGGCTGCGCCAAAACTGATTGCCAACTTTGAGCCCACGCAGAGCCTGTCCAGGTGGGATGTGAGTCGAATCTTCTAGGTCGGATAACTGCACGCGATCCACAATGATTCCTTCACTGGTATCTCGGTAGTCGACCATGATGTTATTTGCTTTGATGTCTAAGACGCCACATTAGATTAAAATCCGAAGCTTAGGTCCGGCGGGGATACATACCTAAATGCGCGATGTTCTGGTCGTGCAAGGTAGCAAGGCCTCGTAGACTGTCTCGAAGGACGCGCTTTTGCGCAGCTAGGGAGAGGTCCTTGAAGGCGAAGTTGAGGAGATGGTCCGTCATGTATTCGTTGACAAACATCTTCTGCTCGGGGACGGTGTCCCGCAGCGCCCGCAAGTAAGGCGAGTGATTAAATCTCAACTGCAGAGGAAGTGCATAGTTGTATTCGTTCTCAAATAGACTTTTCAAAACGAACATCTTCTCGTTTGCCCTAAAGACGTGTTAGTTGGTTCAAGTCCGACCCACAAACGCAAGCGTCTAATGGGGTAAAAGATAAAGGACATAAAAAAGGACATGAATTTTCTGCCGGGGCTGAGGCTGAGGTAGAGAGCCTGAAGCAGAGCTTAGCTTAGCTTAGCTTACCTGGCGAGATAGACCAGGCGGTCTTGTCTGTCCTGCAGAACATTTTCAATGGTATACTCGCGACCAGAGTACCCCTTCAGAATGACGCCGGGTTCAAATTGCTGAGAGCCGAAAGAGCTGACGCTGTGCGGAACGGTGCTAGCTTTGCGAATGCTACCGCCGAAGCGAGCTCCGGCGCTGTAGTGGGAGGATGCGGTGGATAAATGAGCACGGCCAAATCTAGAAAGGGGTTGTTTGAACGCGGTCAAAGCTGCCGAAGTGACGGCGCTGCCGCGCATCGTATCTCAATAAGAGGTAGAAGAAGAAGAAAAAACCAAAAACTTAAAATAAATCTAATCGCAGGAAAAATGAACGAAAATAGAACGGCGAGTTGGCAAAACGGATTGCGAGAGTTTCGTAGCTTATGTTGATGAAAAGGTCAAAAACGCAAGGGGAAAATGTCGCAGGGCTTCTTCTAGTTAACTAACAGAAGAGCTAACAGAGTTTGTTGAAACGCCGCAAATCAAAGAACTGGCGGTATCCACTTTGGTACGTTCACGTGGCGAAATTACAAACGGTAAACCTAGGGTACTTAGCGTCGTTGACTGTTTTGACCGTACCGTATCTGTACTGTGTGATCAGTTTATGCTTACTGTATTATGCACAGTCCAATGTTGCAATATTGTAGGGGTTCTTGGTCCTGTGGTCGTATGTATGTACAGTTGAAAGTTGCTGGGTTTAGGCCGGGATCGCACTCGTTTGTACCTAATGTAGGTAGTTGTCGTTATGTAGAGAAGCCTAGGGGGAATCGATGACGAGGGACGAGAAGGAACGTATTATTATTATTATAATCAATTTAGGCTTGCGTAAGGTACTAATTCCGATATTACTAAGTCGAATTGATTGGAATGCACATATTACACATTCAGCTCTTGGCTCTTCACCGAGAACTATCGTGGCGCTTCCGTCAAACACCAGAATGGTATTCTACCTTAGGTAATTTACAAATATCAGCCAAGGGGCGTCTTTAATCCATAACCAAACTACACCGCATTATTTAACTAGCTCTTAAATTTATATTCTTTAGTATGTAAAGACTACCAGATGTTTTGCTTTCAATTCAATTGAACAGTCACCTTTAATCTTTAAAGTACACTTTCCTTAGGTATGAGGCGTGACTTAAATGAGGTATTTGTCTTACTTCTTGGTTGTTTACATTCGTGCGGCGTGGGGGGTACACCAGGTGACCTACCGAGCTATCCGCTTTGACATTTGAATGGAATTAGTAAATTTGTGTCGAATAGTTTACTACCACGTCGTTTCAGAAATCAGGTGAAATTTTCAATTAGATGTTGCCTTTTTTGTTTGGTTGGCAGGTATATATTTATAGCCAGTCGCAGAAAGAAGCTTAGGGGTAAGGCTTTGTTAAAGCCCAAAGAGATTGTTTGAACCAATATAAAACGTTGACGTTACTAGGTTAGATGCTCTTTTTATTTTACGCGGCTATCGTGTTATGAGAGTCATACATACCTTAGCGTTAGCTTTATGAGAATATGCAATTATATGATAGGGCAACTCAACGAAACAGAGATTGAAGCGAAATTCACGATAGCTCGATGCAATCTCTGTTAAGCTGACACCTTGTCTAACATTATGACAATTAGTAGTGTTTTATATAAATTTCATTTTGACTTGTTCATAATATCATCATACCTTATCGAGTTGCTGTGTAGCTTTGTTTTTAACATGCTAAATGACTTGAACTATTAATATATTCTACTAATAATAACACATTCAATAGTCGGCTGTAATTTAACTACATCATAATTTAAGACTACTTGCTTCGATCTAAAGATATAAAAAAATAAGGTCAATAGCTATAACTTATAAGTTGGTTTTCTCAACCAAGTACACATAAAACTCGAGTCTTTATTAATTGATCTCTTATTACAAGTCTTTTGATATTATATGTTATAAATTCTTATATGAAAAGTGTTATTATAGCGCCTTTTAAGTTACTATTTACCTAAAGTTAGAATTAATCTATATTATTTTACTCTAAAATAGGTACACTTACTTTATAGATTTCTTTTTATAATAATGATATTCTGTCTTACCGATATAGAGTTAACAATGTACTCCAGCTACCTAGTCGCGATGTATTAAATGCATCGTATAGTACAGGGTGTAGTCCCCTGTTTCTGAGTTGGTGCTTCGAGGATAGGCTTAATTAATTCTCTAGATCGACATAGATGAGATTCAAATGCTCGCGTAGTCCTCATTATAAGATATGTAATCTTATGAACACTATATTTTGATACTATAATTCATGTCCTGTTCTATTGCATAATGAGTTCACATAAAGTTGAGGTAGCTTCAAGACAATGTATATACGGATGTGAAAATTTTTATTGTCACGAGTTACCTTTATCTAACAAGATGACATCTTGTGCCTACGTGATCCATTCGTAGGTAGGTACCCAGCATCTAGCATCCAACCAGTCTATTCTACCAAGCAGTCTATCAAAATCCAAGCGTTTCAAGTCCCTCCATTACTTCGTTCCAATCATTATCTTAATTGTCTTACAGTATCGTACAATTGGTCGGATTCATTCTGCTGTAACAACAGATAGGTAGCTTCATCTGTTATGTCTTTTAGTTGGCATCCTGGACCACGCGCGGGATCTCCTGTAGTATCTGGCGCTCGCGCTTCGGTCCCCCGTCGGGTTGCTGCACGTGGCGCCCGGGTTGGACACCGGTAGTAGGTTGGGGGTGGAGATGGTTGGTAATACCACTGGGCCATGAAATGCTAGCGGGTCTGTGGAGCCCCCCGTCTTGCTTCTCATGATTACCCTGCCAGTTTCTGCGACCGTGGTCCTGGTTATCACCAGGGAGATGGTGGTGATGACCAGGTCCACCAGTAGGCTGTGGGAACCCACCGGTTGGGTGCGGGTGGTGACCGCTGGGATGGGCAAAGCCATCCGGGTGAGGGCGTACATGGTCCGCATCCCGTCTCAAAAAAATATTGCTTTCAGGACGTCCGGTTGAGTGAGGGAAGCCGCCGCTCGGGTGGTGATGATGGTGGCCAGTGGGATGAGGTTGGCCAGGCCAGTGATGTTCTTTATCGTCGGGGCGGCGCGGGCCACCAGTAGGATGCAGGAAACCGGTTGGGTGGGGAAAACGACCGGTCGGATGCGGAAATCCGCTGTGGGATATGGTAGTGGGAGGTTGTTGCTGGTTGCCGAACGGAGCTGCTGAGCCGCCCTGCAAATAGGCTGCTGCTGCTAAGAGAGTAACGAATGATCGCATAGTTGATGCGTTGATGTACAACTTGTTTTATAATATGGATGAATAATAGGTATACCGGTTCCTGGGTATGGCTTATTTGACAAACGAGTGAGAGTCGCAGTAGGCTAGAATAGTATGTAGTTGTTAGATTCGAATCAATACTGATAGAAATGATTCTAGACTGAAATCGAGGTCGAGCCAACTCTCTTATATGCTCATCGAGTCCTTAGGAACGCTTGTATAGTAGATAACTGCCGCAATACCACTACTTCTTTCTTAACCCTGCCTTGACGATCATAGCCTTCCACACTGACTTCATGGTTATGTTGATCACATTGAATATGAACACGCCGGACTGTTGCACGTAGCATCGTGGGTCAAGGTACAACGCGAACGCGGCATTTGGCCACCCCAGCCACTATGATTGACGTCGGTACCCATCATAATCCGTCTTTAGTCGCAGTTGACGACGAGTCAGGTTGCTCTAACTAGCCAGTCGGAACGAATAAAAATTTGGATTGCTTGTATTACGGCTCTAAGTTGTCGAGATAGAAATCTCGAAATATTTTCCAATCCGCAGGAATCACTAAAGATCTGATATTTGCACTTTTACCTTGCACCAATATGATATCAGCTTTTAGCGTAGAAGCAACTGGATGGTTAGGTCATTTCAGGCGATTTTTGATAGATATTTTCATTTCTACGGCTTGTGGAGGATTTGGCAGAGTCCCTTGATATTGTGGTTTGGTTCACCAGGATTAGGCGACCCAGATCCAACGCTGTTCTAGCTACATAAACGGGGGCGGCTACGTAGGCAGGTTAGAGCCGTGGAACAAGAAAATATTCTACGCAATATCTCGACAATTTGGCGTCACTTTTTCTTTGATAGCAATAAATACCTTACGTAGTATACAGATTGAGATGAAGCAGGTTTTGGTACCCCTGGATTAGTTTTGGTGTTAATGGTACGTACCTATATTGCAACCAATATAAGTGGACTTTACGCTACAGTTTAGTACCTATCTGAACTAGAAACGGAGATACAATGGTACATATAACTAGCGTTTTCATACATGTATCCAATAGGATGTAGACGTTAGGGGCGTGCCTGGACTATTTCTGAAGCTAATAAAATATATACACTGTGTACATGACTTCAGATGACGATGTGGTACGTGGGGTGCTATTTAAAGTCTTTAGATTCAACACTAATCCTGCGTACTTTGTACAATAATATACGTTCACAGAAAGACAGATCCAGATCAGTACCTAAGTACGTATCAGGACAGCTCTCTGTCGATCGTACATAGAACACTTCAATGGGCCGATGCCGCACACCTAAGCAGTACATAAACAAGAAAAAATGACCAAGGAAGATGAGATGGCACATGTGTGTATGTAGGTACCCAAAGCCTGAAAACGCTTGAATGTATTACGCTTCTAGAACGCTCGAAAAAGGTTGGAGGTTGGGATTCGGGGTTGTATACATGGTATACATTAGGTTAGGCACACTACCTACATAATGTACATGCATGCGGGCAGTTAAAAAGAAATAAGCTTTTCTATCCCTGTATTAAATTCTTGGCATATGCTCTAATTTAGGAGGATTTTTAATTAGCGGTCTTAATAGCGGTCTTACCTAAACATGAGCTAGATTTGGTAATTCGTCGCGAAACATCACCAAGCTTACACCAGAACACCAGAACACCAGAACACTAGACGATAACATCCAAAACGGGGGAAGCTGTGTACCAACACACAACAACATCTGCATCTGTGCGCGAGATCTGCAGCTGAGGTTACGCGACGGCCTTAACGTCATACAGCTGTAACGATGGTCACGTCAGCCGCTTACGACAATCGCAATCCTCGAAGACTCGGTCACTTATTGTGTTCGCATATTCCATTTTTAGCCAGGTCCTCATAAATAAATGTACCTGCATGAACTAATAGCTTAATGGAGGTAACTAATCCATCTTTTAAGCCTAAGATGCTAGTATTTGGAACTAGTAAGGAGTTTGACTCCTAATACCACCGAGAGGCGGCTTGCACGAGTCGTGACATACCTTAGGTATGTCAAAGCTTTGTATCTATCCCAGATATATGTCACATTTAGGACTTGGACAGGATCGCGATTTACTGTTATCAATCATGTTAGTTAGCATCATCCGCAGATCCTCTAGTAGGATGCCGCACGGCATGGATTCTAATGCCAGCTCGAATCTACCTTCTACACACTACACATAGAACAAACATTGGAATCAACTAAAACTTTAGTAATGACCCGGGGCTAAACCTAATTAACATGATAGAACATATTGATCCTGCGATTCTTCGAGCCCCGCTAAGCATCCTATATCTAGGACGGCATGGGGGTCAAAAAGACGGATCACCAAGAGGTCAGATTGAGCTTCCTCATGTCCACTCCTACACATTGGTCGATCTTCAAATTCCGCTTTGCTACTAGTTAGTATAGTCCTAGATATCCTCTATTGCGTGATTTACTTCTTCACTGATGACGCCACAGGTACAATCCAATTCTAGGTCGACGATCTTCTATTGAGGCCGTCTATCTGCTAAGGTATGATTAGGATCACTAGCATTAGCCAATTGTTGGCTGGTCGAGATGTTAGCGAACCTCTAGTGTTAATATAAAAAGGGGCTTCCAATGCGTACTCGGAATCAGCTACAAGTAGCCTCAGCAGGCACTACGTATTTCAGCGAACATTCTAATTTATAACAGGTATGACTGAATTTAGGTACACTAATAATGGCAATCAGATCTTCAATTCTATGAACTGGTCGTCATATTTATACATCACGAACAAGCTAGTCTGTTACCCTCAGGTGAATAGCTTATGATTTCGTAGCCTCACATGCACTGGCATACCATCCTTCGGGTGGACTGGTCCATTCCCAACACCGTAGAGGCGTCTGCCATTTACAATGTGAGTAGGCGTAGCATTGGGACCTCTGTTAGGAGTAGTTGGGTTAGTAACCATGTACACAATTACCTCTAAGGAGGTATAGTAGGGATCGGCGGTCAGTTGTTTGGGCTGGAGTACTTACTGCTTCTTGTCCCACTCTTCCCATGCCTCCTCGATGTCAAACGTACGTGCTATTAATATGGCGACTAATCTTAACTCGACCATCGCCAACTCCATTCCAACGCAGTTCCTCGGTCCTAAAGAAAACGGCACCCAAGCTTCTTTAGTAGCAACATAAAGCGGATCGCCCTCGGCGGCCATCCAGCGCTCTGGTAGACAATCGTCTGGTCGTGGCCAATAATCGGGATTGCGCTGTACTCCGGGTGCCGCCACCCAAGGTCCGAACCCCTCCATAGGATACCTGGTAGGCGATCCTGGCGCGCTGACTGAAAATCCCGGGATACTGTCGCTATCACGAACCGTCGCAGCGAGCGGATGCAGCCTTAGAGTCTCCTTAATGACGCCTAAAGTGTACGGTAGCGAGTACAAGAGGTGGGGCGATGCGATCAAAACCTCCATAGCCTTCTCCGGATCGGGCCCTAGGACAGAGTCATGCTCGACCCGGAGCTTCGCTAAGCAGTCCGGATTGTCCTGCAGTATCTTTACCATAAAACAGATCGTCGACGAAGTCGTATCGTGGCCAGCAAACATAAAGGCCTTCAAGTTCGCTAGGAGTCTATCGACGAACTCAGCATCGGGCTTTCCTCCGAAAGTACCAGAATTTTCCTTTTCGACATAATTCATAGCAAGATCGACGATTGTCTTCTTTTGGCTGGCGTTGACGTCTGACTGTAGCCTTTTTTCTATCTGCGGAAGTAGAAACTCGCGCATGGTGCGGTTGTTTCGGTCGATAGATCTCTGATGCCAGAGAAGCTGGCTAGAATGGAAGGCTTTTGCGGATTTTGATAGCTTCCCCATCAACCGAAGTTGATCTACTAGGGCGGTCTTGAACGGGCTGCTTGATGGGTTAGACTGTTCATGTAAACGTAAATCTCTATCTCGTGTCAGTGTACCGAAGTATATAACCGGAATCCTGATGTTTTTTAAGGTATACTAACACAGATGCTCTCACAATAATGTCGAAAGTCAGGTTGATCGTCTTTTTCTCCAGCTGGAATACCGGACCCCACTCCTCTCCTTGGCCAGCTTGGTCCTTAAGCCCATTTGCGAATATCTGAGCCTCTTCAATGAGCTCCGGCAGCAGAGCTGTAAGATTCCGTTGGCTAAAACCGGGATTGAACATCGACCGCCATTTCTTCCATAGCTCTCCTTCTGTCGAAACGATATCCATTGCTCCTGTCAACGGCTGCATGTATTCGTGCATGACCGAGTCCTTGGGGAGACTCTTGACCTGCGTGCACTGAGCCGCAGCTACGGCGTCAAATATAAGTACAAGAGACCTTGACACAGGCCAAAGGTCCAAATAAACCACCGGTGGCAATCTCTTATGACCAGGGAAGTATTTATCGACATTTGCAACGAGCCAGGGATGGAATTCATATATATTAACATCTGGAGGATGAGACGCTCGAAAGGCTGCGAAGACGGGAAGATGGCCGAATAGTAATGAATGTGGCAGTACGGGCTTAAATGGATCAGTTTAATATCCTGCTATTCATTTTGGTAGTTAATGGAACTCACAATTCCTTGAGCCTTTAAAGTTCTTACCCGCCTCCGTTCGACATATGCTCTATACAGGAAGCGTAGCACAATAACGGCGAGCAGGGCGTAAAAGCCCCGCACGAGTGGTAACACAATATCGGCCGTCATCATGTTGTGCCCCCAAGCGATCTTAAAGGGGATTGAGAGTGTGGGTGTGTATCTCGAGTTAGAACGTAGCTATGGGTTATAGTATGTACCCAGATACCTAAGTTAGGTATTCACCAAGCTGTTCGATATTCTAGAGTTATAGTATTTACAGAAGTCGATAATAATATAACTATAAATTATGTAAAAGTGTCTGAGTAAAGATCTGCGGATCTTTCGGTTGAACTTCTATTTTTGCTACCCCCTGTGTATATAGGTTCCTCATTATATTAATAGAGACTCCCTCATCTTGCTCAGACGTGTACTTCGTAGTGTGGAGCCTGTATGATATTGAAAGGGAAACTGTAAGATCACAAGTAAATTTCAGGGGTGGTTGGTAGCGGTCTCCATACGAATACGTACGCGATGATGCCTTGAACTGTGTACACGGGGCATGGGTCTTCTCAATGTACATAAGCTGACAGGCTACAGCTGAACTTACCCCGCGGGCTTGGCTGTAAATATCGCCTTACGCCTCTAAAACAGGAATACATATAATCGAATGGGCTATTATTTCTAGCGAGTTAAAGACTCCATATTATAAATCTCTCGATTTCGATTGCCCGGGACTAATTGCTCATTCATCACTTGCACAGACACGAGTACGTAACAGCGGAACAAGAATTTGTCAAGTTGAACATGGCGGTATCGAAAGCTGAAATTATCCTAGGCGGATTCATGGCCTGTCCATTGCAAGGAACACTTTCCGCTTAGCCTTGACTTCGCCTCAAACTAACAAACACACACGCTCGCTTCTAGTGTTTCTTCGATATCTCAGGACTTCCAGGGATTTCGGATAGCCCTAGGCATTTTATCAGTAGTTATTCTAAATTGTTCTCCAGTTTAAGGATGCTTCAATAACTTACAAGAATCAATGTCCTCTTTAACAGTCCGGTCAATCTTGCACTTGTTCTGGTTGGCAATTGACTGCGTGGTTAATGTAGGGCAAGTGACATAACAGGGTGTGTCCATAGTCCTTTGGAGAGCATCCCCTTTCCAGCCGAAGAGATAGTCACCGTGACTACCATATCCAGTGCTGGAAGCCTGCGTCAGCAAGTTCTTTGAGCATTGTTTGGGATGCGTGCTACTTACTGGTCACCCATGCTCCAGACAAAGGGCTGGGATCCGTCCTCGGGCCATTCATTAGGGTCGTTAAATCTTTACAGTCATCATAATTAACTAATCGGACGAAACAACTAGTCTATAAGAAGACAAACTTACTGGCGAGTATCCCAGATAGTTTCATACATGAGCTGGGGAACAGGTACGGGGTGGCTTTCCGGGCAGGGCCCTTGCGAGTCGAAAGTACCGCTGGCTGGGTATGCCATGTGGCTCATGTGGTCTACCGTGTCAAGGTTCTTTCCATCCCAGCAACTACTACATGTTAGATGACTCCCCAACAACTTCGGTATATATACGCGTAGCCGACTCACGTTGGAAAGCGAATGTTTGCCATGATGCCTGCCGGGCATGGCTTATTGGGGAGGTTCTTGGTCTCGGGGAAACGAGTGTTCATATCTTGCAGACAGGTGTAGGTAACCTGCTTGTATTTGTTGGCGTCTTCGGCAGTTCGAGCCATCGCATCGCCGATAAGCATACGGAATCCCTAAACTTATCAGCTCTATATGCTCAGTGCTCGATATTCGCGGACAACGAGAGCCTTACAGGCTTGAAAGCTGTGACCTTGGACCGCTGCTGGTAGTCTGCCAAGCCGTTTTGCATGTAGTAAACGGTCATACCGCCCTCGGCGCCGTCGAACCCGACATTAGGTCGGATCGGTACACGTTTAAAGGTGCCGTTACGGGCCCTGAAGAAGAGAACAGCGGTCCAGTAATTTGAAGTATCTTCGGTGAATTGGCAGCTTGTGCAAGTAGACTCGCCAGGCATGTCTTTAGTAGGATCCATAGTCACATTAAGCGAATTCTACGTCGATTAGCCACTTGTTTACTTCTTTAGCCCACCCAACCATAACTTACTCCGCCGATGATCTGGTGTAGATGCGGCGAGGGCGCCATGCCCGGATTCACTAGCGGGTCGATACGGTCAACCACAAGCTGAGAGCATGAGAATCGAATTAGCGCGCTTGCTGGCGCGGCTAATGCCAACGCGGTGAGCGAGGTTAACTGCATATTGTTCACTGGACTTAAGGTCAACTATCGGGCGATCGTCGTATAAATAAGAATAGTAACCGTGGGGGAAGACCACCAGGCGAGAGGGTTGCGGCAGGCTCAGCACTTTTATCTATTATCGGGATTGCAGACCTGCAAGACTGTCCGGTCAGCCGTCCTAGCAAAGCGAATAATAATAGAACGATAAAAACTACGCATATAAGGTAGTGACCCCATGAGGCTTAGACTTCGGTTGCATTCCACGTTCTGGTCATAGCAACATTGGCCAGTCCCTGGTTCAGTACTACTCTGTGGAAGGGAAAAATGGATTCTGGCAACTTGGAAGTAGTTTAGCACTGTTTCTAACTGCCGGGATAGGTTGAGTACACTCTCCCCAATACATCCGAATATGTCAAGATCGATATTAACCGGAGTAGGGTGGGTTCAGTTCATTATAGCCTCCGAGACCCTATGGGGTTTATAAGAGGCCGAGCCAATCAATATCTTAAGATATGAACCAAGCATCAAAGTAGAAAGTGATCCCAAGCCTGGAAATATCCTTATGTCAGTCTTGGCTGAGACATACGTGTAGTCATCTTTATCACTTCGTACGATATTTTGGTAATTTTAAAGAAAGTAAAAGATGGAAATATAAACCGAGAGGACTGTCTAAGCTACATCTAAGAAATCCCCAATAATGCCAATATTCAAGTGATTCCATAAAAATCTCGTCGGCAGGATAAGCATCTAGGTATCAAGAGGGTACACTCAAGTGTATCGTTTACTATCATAGAGCCTAGATAATTATAAATCCAATATAAATAAGGGATGACCCATTCGAGGATGGAGCTTTCATTATATCATCAGCTTAACTGAGAATCTGGGCGTCTCACTCGACAGGACAGAGCAGTATAATATCGAGGTATCGAATGCACATGAATTCGGCCCTTCACTTCTTGTCGAAGATGGATCGAGGTAACCGTCCATTAGTTTCATCACATGAAATCGCCACCAGAACACACGGAAGAACAAGCCACATGGCCCAGAACGTCGCTTAGTAAGAGCGCGTTTAATATATCAATGCAGTAGAAGCGCGATTATATGCCCAGAATCAAGGGACTAGGCGCAAGAGGGTATTAATTCCAAATCAATGACCCTTAAGCGCGATTTAACTGGCGAGATTCATACCAGCCTCCCTATCTGAGGTATGATCCACGCAGGCCTAGCCCTTAACTAAGATAAATCTTAACCTCATAACCACAATGGAGTTATATAGGATTGTTCTTTCCCGAGTATGAATATTTAATGCCTACCTGTGAATTTTAAAACCACTTAACCTAGAAGATTCAACACAGGTACTTCACTAATATATTCGATCAAGAGCAGGAGGAGTAAACCCGATTCATCACAAAAGCTTTTCTAGTAGTATAACAATAAAACTAATAACAAGTACCAGAGTTCAGAGGATCCTTAAATCCTTGATTTTCTAACCGAATAAGATAACTAATAAGCAAACCATAACTGCACAACACCTAACCAGCAAGTCCTAAGAAAAGGGGTCACTTCAAGAAGTACCCAGCGACCGAGTCATCATTTTGTTTATTCCTATTGTCTTACTCCGCCTTTGGTACTGTGCATGAACAGAACCTAATCAGGGAGGATTAGCTTATACGGAACATACACTAAAGGGGGTTAATAGTTGATTCTTACCTTGCAACCCGGCTCTGGACGCATGTCGGCTCACTTCGAGGCATCTGCTGCGTGCAGGAAAGGTATGCACAGTCAGCAGCAGTCTTGCAAGGCTGGTGAGGACTGGTAGTTCCGGTGGGTTGAGGGTAACTAGTGGGATGCGGTCTGTGATGGCCAGGTAGGCGAACGCTAGTCGGATGAGGATGATGCGGTTCACCAGTAGGTTGGTGGTGAGGGTATTGCCATGTCGGGTGCTCTGACGGGATGATAGGGGGACTGGCTCCTCTCCCTGATAATTATCTATTAGTGTTTGCTTATTAACTCTACTGGGCGACTTGGGGTTGCGTACGCCACTCTGGCATGTTGTAGGGCAGTTCAGCCTGGACACCTGCCAAGCAGAGGCCTACGATGACTGAGAACAAGGATGTAGAGGTCTTCATATCGTAATCGTTATAGTTGATGGTCTATAATGAGGTAGATAATATGAATTGATTGAATCAAGTTCGTACGAGGTCGCTATGGTGTTAGAACTCCACAAGAAATCTGGGTTTTCGAGGAAGATGAATGACCTTTAAATAATAGAACTCCATGGCGGGTTTCTGAAAGCCGGGCTGCGAGTCGCGTCTTTACCTAAGTGACCTAATACTTTCAGCATAGCAATCACGGGGAATAGAGACGTAGAATGTGCTGTTAGAAGGTATCCAGACAGTCTTCCCGGCCGGATCGCATATCCAGATGGCTTCTGCATAATCCTCCTAGGATCATATTCCTTGCTACGATCGGCACATTGTAGATCGTTCCCGCTGTTAGCTGAGTGCCTTGCATCAGCAGCTATTAAAGGCAGTTATGTTGTAGCTGTCAACTTTTACTAGTGCTGATTATACCGTCGCCATACCAGACCACGGAATTATCAACACAGAGACGGATCATGACCGAACTCTCGCAGATACTTAGTAGCGAGAAAATGTAAGCCAATGGATCTATCAAGTTCAAACAAACATCTGGCGGTCATCAAAGTGGCTAGGCTGATTTGACATCTCCGTGACACCACATCGTCACGCGAAGGCGTACCCGAGCCACGCTCGGTGTAGGGCGGAGAAGGGAGAAGTTGAAATATTCCCATTGAGTCGTCAACAGACGCAAAATAACAAGCGCTTAGCTAATAATGGCTTATTCTCAAAATTCTGTCTCATGCTCCTCGACCATCAACAAGTATTCTATGCCTTAAGGATTTATGTTTTTGTTGATTTGACGTCGAAAGGTATCATTGGGATGAAAGAGGATCAAGCTACACAAGAAACATAGGTAGATTTAATCCGTATAAGTCAAGGGGTTACCCCCCATCCCCCACGCACAGACCCCAGAGATCACTTCTACAACCGTGCTGGAAGAAGAAAAAGGGTCTGTTCTATCTTGAAGATCTTGCTAAATAAAACTCACCAGTGACATCACTCCCGCTACATGCTGCCTTTCTCAGCATGTCAGCCATCAGCTTAGTTAAGGGATACCAATCCAACACATTCAGCCTCATGTAACTACCTACCTAGGATATAGAACCAGTCATCTTGCTATCATTTCCAGCTCTCATATGTTCGCTAGGTATTAAACCCGACGGTTTCTTCCTGTCTCAGACAATTCGTAATTCAACCAGCTACGAGTACATCCCGTCAAGCTTACCCGCCGTTAAGATCGGCGTCAGCGATCGACACAGGGCTGCTGACAGATAGGTGTTCATAAATACATTCCCTTAGCACGATCGACGATCCTTGAATCACATGAGAATACGTTTAGACGGTATTAGATCATTCCATAATAATATACAAAAATATCCTACAATCTCTTCTCAACTCTATGTCCATTCCGTGTCTATCATCTATCATGCAATCCCTCTACCAAAAATCTACCTTTAGTCAGTCGATGCGCTTAGTACAAATCTGTCAACCCAGCGTTTGACGATTTCGTCGGTCTCGTTAGGGAAAACTTTCTGAATCCCTACTCGCGCTTGAACTAGTAACGCCTCAACTGTCGGACGATGACTCGGGTTGTGGTACATGCATTGATAGATTGTTCTTCTGAGGTCTTCATCGACATGGTTGAATTGTCCGTCCATTAACAATGGACAGTATGATATTGGTTGGTTTGGATTTCTTCTTCTGATTGTTTCGTCGATATTCGCCGCGTTCCTCCCACCTGGTATAATCACTCCGGCTGGTATTTGAGGTTGAGGTGGTGATGGTGGTTGTCTTTGGGTTATGATAACCCACATCGTCTTGCAAAGAATTAGATGAAGAAACAGACTACCTAACCTGATCTATACAAGATAAATTAGGTACTTACCATTGCGATACCCCATACGTTTGTTGCCGCGCTATAACTCCCCGCCACTGCATTTTCTCCCGCCTCTGGCCCATCGGCATCGGCGGGAATTGTATCCCAATCCGACGCGAATTGTTCCTATAAGTAGGTAGTATTCCACTTAGCATACGGGCTCTATAAATCATGAGACCAGGGGAGGATAACTTACAGGCGCAAAAAATGAACTCTTTCCAATCATTCGCCTCCTCACATAGTACTGGCTATGTTTCTGTTAGCAGCACTACCAACGAAATCAACAGATATCACGGACTTTCGTTTGTAAGGTTTAATTTGTTCCGCTAACCCAAAGTCTGCGAGCTATCAGTTGGCGGTTAGCAGTCATGCAACCATCCCCATATTCAGTTTACACACCTTTAGTTTGGGGATAAATAAATGCTCGCCCAATGCCCTATCTCTATGGTATACGTCATGCTTTCGTTTGCGGGATGCCCCTTCAGGAGCTTTACCTTTCCGTGCCGTAGACGATTCTCCGCGGGTCACTCTTACGTTCAGCCGTCGTAACATTCCTGAGAAGTAATTCATAGTTACTATAGGCGAAGTCTTTGGAATATATTCTTCTCTAGGAGCTAGGCCTTCTCCGGGAGTCACAGGTCCCGTGAAAGGCGCGTTTTTAGATGCCGGCTCGTCCCATTCTGGGCGCTCAACATTTCCAACAAAAACTGGATAATCGTAAGCTACCTCCCTGGTAACGCCTCAGAAACTCTAAGGAAGGACTACCTACTATTAGTCGGGTCGATATCAAAGTGGACCCAGTTCTTCGCCCTCCACCTTTTGCGAAAGGGAGGGACATCCTCAACCAGTTCGGCCCTGTCAAACCGCTGGGGGTGGAATTTACGGGGAGGGTATTTCATCCCTACACAAGCCCGCACCACTACACCAATTAGAAATTAAAAGCACTGCATATAGAAGATCTCAACTTACAGCAAAGCCATAACGCCCACTATAACAACGAGAGTTAGTAATTGCTTCTAACAGTAACCTCAGGAGGCAAGCCAAAGAAAGAAAAGGGGGGAGCTCAATAGTGCATACAAGTATTCTATTAGGAATTGGCGTGACTCCTCCAGGTCCTCCAGGCCCTGGGGTTGCCTCCGATATTCTACTAATCAGCATCCGTAGATCACCTCCCTGAATATACTCGAGGAGTAGGAAATCTTTCCTAGCTTCTAATGTAGCATTGCGGTAATACCATGTCCTATAGCGATTGTTGTAGCCTTGTATCCGCGCTTGTAGTTCCGCTGGGGGCCTAAGATGACGGGGAACTCTTCTAGGCCGGTGTGGTTGATCAATGCTTTCATCGCCGCTGGATTGTTCTTCGTCGGAAGAGTCGTCTACCGTTGGTCTCGGAAAGAATGGAGCATGTGGCTCTCTACCGACGTCCTCTGGGCGTACCAGCTGAACGGTATGCGTTGCTCCCAACATCGCCTGAATATTGTAAGCAATACATATCTGTAATTTCATATTGGGTTTACCTTACTTCCATGGCTTTTCCTTCCTTCCGTAACTCGTCTGATTGCCATGACGCGAGAGAGAGTTTTACGGCAACGTCTTTAGGGGTCCCTTCACCATCATACCTGTAGTGAAGCGCCAGTCCCACTACCATCGGTATTTTGATTAGCAATCACTCAGCTAAATATAGTGCTATAAACTAGATCTACATCTTCATCCTCAAAAAGTTTACTCACAACCTCCGAAACCTAAGACCTTCTGGTAGCGGAACACAGGGGAGCGAAAGTAATATTTGGCATTTGCCAATGCATCTCTCGCCTTGTTAGCATTCTCGTCATTATCGTGTCGCGGATCCTCTATATCTGGCCTCGCCGATGATATTGCCGAAGGGTTGTGATATCGTCTCTGAGTCCATTCTATGGGCTTCTCATCGAAGACTGGCGGGGGGCCGACCCTAGGCACATTAATTCGTGTCCAATAATGCCGGTTATCCTTTATATATTGTTTATCCCATCTCATTGTCCAGCCAAACCTTCGAAACATTTGGAACTTATAGTTCTGCAATTGAATTTTCTCAAGGTAGTTTTTTGGTAGTCCATCGTCTGGATCAGCCATGGTGATTATGTCAAAACGTCAAATATTAACAGTATCAATATTAGTAGTCGACTAAACTAAAATTCATAAAATTCGTATGTTAAAAACAGATAATGTGTGTACTTAATTGTTGTGGGCAGCCAAGTAGAGCACCCCAAGCTTACAGATGGTTATAAAGTGCAACAGAATGAATGGCCGTTTGTGGTAACAACGTATTGCAACAAAGAATAAACAATGAGTTTAATTTCCGGAATGGGGTGCTATTCGCTCAAAGATAATGGTATCTATTATGCAGCCTTTTAGTCTTTTAGCTTAGTATCATCGTTACTATTTTCAATGTTGTATATTCTTAGGCGATGCAGGCGATGCATACGAAGCACGGTATAGCTGGTAGCTTTATAAGAGTTGAAAAGAACGACTAACACAGAGGCTCTAACGAGGCTTTTAACCATATGTCACTTATATAATATACTATGTAAGAAAGAACATGATGTGAAATAAATTTTAAAGCAACTTATAGACATCTTAACCAGTCCAAAGATGGAGGGAACTTTTTCATAGGGCGCATACCAATTGTCAGTTGAACTTTTAACAGAGATAGGTATATTTATGTAGCTTCATGCCTCTTTTCATTGCATGAGCAAAGATCATGTAGGAAAGCTACTTAGACGTATGCTCATAAATCGGTGAAGAGCCTCAATGCACTATGGCGTCATTTATAAATTGGCTACATGGCATGCGTAAAAATATAAAAAATAAGACAGCAAGGTCATCCAAGACGTCACTCCCCACTGAAGTTTTACTTCGGGGCGCAAAGATGCGCATACAACGATCTTTCGAACGACGCCACGGACCCCGCGCTATTTCCTCTTCTGGGAGTCTATTTGGGCTAATTGGTTGGGATGTTAGCCATGAATATAATTATGACATCACTAGCCATCATCTTTGCTAATCCCCTCTTATACATGTAGCTCTCGTTTGCCTTAGGTACGTTATTATATTTTCTACCGCTTTTCTATTCATACTTCACTCCTAAATCTACAATATTCTATTTTATATTTTCGACACTACTTTAGCTATCCCAAAGCAAGGGTCTTTCAATCCCAATACAAATAAAGCTACCCGCACAAGCATCAAATCAACCATTGTCATTGTCATTGCCATCATGTCGTTCCTCGAAGTCACCGCTCGCCGTCTGGCCACCACTTCTAGAATTGCCGTGGTCCCTGCTCCACGACACTTTAGCACAAGCATCGCGGCACAAAAGACAGTCACAGAAACTGCCAAGGACACATTAAAAACAGTAGATCGTAAGGTTTCTGACAAACTAGTTGATGGCATCAATGCGGGAGGTGAGCATCTTACCACCACTTCATATTATTAAACTAGTGATAGACTTGCTAACTAGTGATGCTCAAACAGCCAACCTTGCATCGAAAGTAAAAGGCGAAGTAGATACAGGCAAGGTGAAAGGTACGGCGGAGGAGATCCGTGGCCAAGTGAAGGGCGAAACCGAAGAGTTGAAAGGCAAAGCAAAGGGTGCAGCTCAAGAGGCTGAGGGTAAGGTGAAGGGAAGCTTGTAAGAATTTAGATGGATTGGAGGAAACCCTTAATGTTGCACTTATACACTGTCTAGTGTACGTGTTTGTGTCTGTATGATAATGAGACTATCTGAATTCGTCTTGCATAGTACAAAATGCTGCCCCCTAAGCTATCATCAAGCGTAGCTTAATTCAATTTAACAGTACTTTTCATTCGGCGAGCCCGAGTGCATTGCCAACTGAGAGAACTGGCCGGTCTTGGCGTTAACCCTCTTCTACATACCACGACTCCTAGTTCGTTCACCAAAGATACGGTAAACGTTGTCTATGGCAGAGAAGCTCGTTTCTTGCCAATTATTCTCAAAACGGGTTTAAAAGTGTAAACCTTCCCTTTAATATGGACGATTTTGATCAAATAGGAATGCTTTCCCAACCCTTTTAAATACGAACCAGAACGCTGGTTAGCCCCTATAGATTCAGAGGAAGGAATAGCAGCAAGGAAAGCAACAAGTGACGTTTTCGCCGTCATTTCCCTCGGCTCCCGCGAATGCGCTGAGAAGCCCATGGTTTACTTGGAGTTAAGTCTAGCCCTTGCTAAGTCTCTTTAGTATTATGAATTTGAAGCCGCTTCTGGTAAACTTGATCAGGTTGGAGTAGGTCAATTTTGTCTATATGATATTTTTACGTCAACCCACGATGGACCATACCTAGTCTTTAAACCCCATGATATGTTGACGGAAGACTTTAGATATATCAAATTTTCGGGTGAATAGCTCTAATAATGTTTACGTGAATCATGTCGCTCTTAGAGCCATTTTTATGATTCGTTTGATTAATAACGATCTGTACATAATATGATTATGAGCTGGTTGCCTGTCACGATGTGTAGCTGTAACCAAGTCATGCAGATCTTCGACCAAATACTTATACATACATGGAGGACTCTAGAAGAGGTTAACTTGTAAGACTAGGGTGATTGGGAATTTCTAGAACTGTGAAAGGATGATATGCTACAACTTATGTATACTGCTAAGGGCTCGTTGAGCCATTGAAGCCGTTATGTCACTATTTTTTGCTTATATTCCGTTGAATCAATATCTACCTATGTAAGGATAATCGTGACATGTAAATTCACATAGACTCTACGTGAATCAGACCCGACTCCGGATTGATACAAGCATAAAATAAATCTTTGATAACCCATTATACCTAACGCTTATATAAAGCGGTCTCTTGTTTCCTTTCCCTGTTAAACTCTGCCAACATTTCTTCACCAGTCCCATTCCTACCTAGGTAAGTACCTATCTACAAACCACTGCCCAGAGCAAACCCACCTAATATCAAGATGCCGTACGAGAGCCAGGTAGCTCAGAAATACTTTGAGGCCAACAGTCTGCGGATCATAGATCATCTCCGCAACGTCAAACTCGTCGAAGATGTCCAATGTCTTAATTCCGAAGACCGGACAGCATACCTTTCCGTTGTCCTTACTAGCTCATATGATGGCACTGGTATTAATGACGTTATTGGAGATATAGAGGCAGCCTTACTATCATTTGACGTCTGCGATAACTGCACGAACACGTTGGACGACATGTTTAGATTCGTCGTTGTGCAGAAGACGAATGGTGCCCACTGGAAATACACTAAAATATATTGGCTTGAGGGACTTACCGCGCCAAGTAGTGAATACGGAGGGGATTAAACCATTTACATAAGGATAACCGGGAGGGAGAGCGGGCCCCCGGAGGGATAGGGGAGGCGAATATTAAGACTAGGCAGTACGGCAAAGGGCGCCCAAGGTTATCTTAAAGCTTTGGCATCCGTTGGATCTTTAATTAGAAATTATGAACACATAGTTTCTTTCACAGAATACATTATCCTCTGCAATATTATTATATCGTTTTATTCATATAGACTCGCTGAAGTGCTTGTAGCCCTAGATAGCCTATCTCTCATTTTGACTCGTCTGTTCCCCCCCCTTTTAGGTACCCTATCTTTCCTAATCCACCACTACCTTAGGTACTTATTCAATATTGTATCTTTCCCGGGAAACCCACAAATAACGGCAAACTTAACAGTCGGTGACCTCAAAGCTACAGTAAATGCTATATAGTTCATATTACTTCCCGGCCGTCTTGATCTGTTCTCCCTTCTTCGCGTTGGCAAGGATCGCCTCCGTCACGGGCTTTAGAGCCCGGTGTGGTAATTCGTGCCCACAGTCGTCAATAATCACCAACGTTGCTCCCTCCACGCCATCCCTCAGAGCCTTCGCATGGTCCACCGAGAACAGCTGATCCTTAGCCGCGTGGATAACGACAGTCGGGCATTTAACAAGCTTAAGCGCCTCCCTAGGCCATCTCACGCCCGCCGCATCCGAATGATTCGTCTTACTCCACATCGTCCCGCTCTCCCGCTCGCGATAGTACGTAATCTCGGACATGCGTCTCGCGTCAGCCCTCTCTTCTTCGGTAGGCGGTTTCGTCGCCATGGCAAGATACATGGCCGTATATGTTTTTATCCAGCCCTCGTGATCATCCCTATCCGTGGGTGGGTCAAACGCGTCTGTGAGTATATAGTGTCCCTCCATCAGCAGCAACGACAAGTTGTCTGCCTCATCCGATATGCGCCCTACTGGGCTCGTGAAGATGAGAGCCAGACTCTCAACGATGTCGGGTAGCCGGCCAGCTGTTAGCCAGGAAATTGGTCCGCCCATGCTAGTACCTATTACGTGTACACGCTCAAGCTTTAGATGGGTTATAAGGCCGATGATATCGTCTACCATATCATCGAACGTGTAGACGCGCTCTCCGTAAGGCGGCTCGGGGAAAGACGTCGAACGGCCAGTATCCCGATAATCGAATTGGACGATGAAGTGAGGATGGTCTGGTGGATTAAGCAATCGGACGAAGGTATCAGGCGTCTGCGTCATAGACATTCCATGTCCCGAAATAATGAGTATGGCCGGGTCTGACGGGTTGCCAAATGTCCGATAACAGATCTTACAGCCTTTCGGCAAAGAAACAAAGAGCTCTTCGGACGTCTCCATCATATTGGATGATAGTGCGAATATAATCTTTGAATGTACCTAAAATATTGTTACAGGTTTACAATCACCATACAAGAAATGATTATATATTTCGGCAAGATACAGCACCTAAACAACATCCAGTGTTTCTCGCCGTAATAACGACGCGGCCCCTGTAACTAGGTACCTAACCTAAGGCAGCAATCCTTCTATGTACTAAGCAAACCCCGCTGAACATCCCATCTCCAATAAAAGCTGATATAACGCGACTAAGGGGGCTGGGGGGCTTTCAGGATCAACAACTACCAGTTTGAGGTCTGACACGTAATACTCAGCCTCATTGGTACCATTTCTTTCAGATCAAGTTGTACGGGTAACATCATTGAATAATTTAATTGGGTTAGGGAGTCTGACAAAGAACCTGTTTAGTGTTGTTGAAGAAATTGGCTTTAGTAACTATTTTATAAAGCTTGCATGTTCACATCAAAAGCCAATTAGTAAGAATACACCAATTATTAAGTGATAACATATACAAAGACACAAACACGTGTATACGTAGGTACCTAACCTATACATATTATAAGTTACGCCTTTAGTTAAGTATAAATACAAGTCTTGTGGCAATTGCTGCATTTGCCTATCGAACTAGAGTTTGACAAACTTACAACTGTGAACAATAGGTATTAAAGTGCAGTTTCAACCCGTCATAAGACTATACAACTATTGAATAACCAGTATATTAAACTAAATTACCTAGTAATCAAAGTTATCACTACACAGGTGCCAGGTGCCAGCTCAGATATCCTTAATACACCACTCTAACCAATATTTAGTCACAATACGTTGATTGTCCCACTGACATCGGATACAACGTTTCGTCTTGCAAAAGTACGACTGATATATTTTATTATAAACGATACTATCCAGATAACCTCCCATCCTTGGTACGCTTTGACTAGCATCGATCCACCGTTTCCCTCAGCCTCGCAACTCTCCGTTGATATAGGATTAGGCATCCACGAACAACAAAAATTCAACTCGCGAATTATCCCGCTATGGCCTTAGAACTAGAGTTTATCGACGGCGATGTTGTAGAAGCTTACTTCAGGACAAACAGGAACAAGGTCAAGGAGTACTTAGAGAGCAAAGTCCAACACGTTGACGACATCGGATATTTCCCCGGGAAAATCGGCCCCGCTTCGGTATTGTATCTTGTGGTAATTCTCACCGAGGAGTATCCCGGAGACCCCGAGGACCAGTCTACAAGCCAGAATATTAGCAACACTATTTCCACAGCCTTAGAAACTTGTTACCCCTTCCCAGGGGTACATCCTAACCATACACTTTCCAAAATGATCCAGGACTTTGTGGTAGTAAAGAGAGACGCCACCAGATATACGAAGGTTTGGTGGCCGACATGGATCCATGCACCCAGAGGCCCGTATGGATGTTGGAACTGTACGGATAGATATTAGGTCGAAGGTACAGTCGGCTAACCCAGCAGTTCCACGTGGTACTTACGGACCTTAATGGCGGTCAGGTTAGGATTCTTACCGAGAAACCATCCCTTTCGTCTTAATATGTCAATCATAGACTATTAGATAGTTTATGAGTGCTCTCCAGCACTCATAACCCAGATTTTACCCAACCCAGATTTTGCCATGGTTTTGTTTAACTTATAGTCAGCCGTATTAATGTGAACTTGTGTGTGCATGTGTCATTCACTATCATTTCTGTAAAGCTCTTTATCCGGAATAGGTTAGATAGTATGATCTATCGTATACGGCTGATATGCTTCAAAGACTTCAAGCATAGGTACTTACCCTCTCGTAGACTAGTCTATCTGCATGGGGGAATATGTAGTGTGTGTATATTCGCTAGCACCGATCTGCGGTAAATATTCAGAATGCAGATAAGCCTCCCAGATCTTCACTTCTACGTTAATAGTATATGCATCACAGGTATTATTGCAGGTATGCTCTTATACAGCCAAGAACTTTCCACGTGTAGAACTAACATTAGTAGGTGTTTATCGGTAAGCCGTTAATGGTAGAGATACCTTAGCCTATGGCCGGGGTTTACTGTCGGTATTATCGTAATTGTTATTTGGACACCTTGAGTTGCCCCTGATCGCCAATTCTATATATTGTTACAATATCCGTATGTCTAGTCGCTTTGTAGAGTTCGAACGATCAACGCGAACCGAGCTGAAGCAAAGTCGAATCGGAGGTATTTGGCAGAGGCATAAAGGTTGCTTGATGATTTAGCATGGTTTTAATATCTTAGAGGGGAAGAACGACAAAAAGAGTAGAGATATTGTAGGGGGTTTTCTTCAGTTTATGACTATCGCATTATGTACCCCTATTCGGAAATCCCGACTGCTGAAATGAGTGGTCAGGGGCTTGCTTCCAAGTATGGTACATGACATCTTGGCAAAAAATACGTATATTCGAGATCCCCTCTCAGTTGACATGGCGAGTCAACATACGGGTATAATAACGTGTATTGTCTTTTAGCTGGAATCGTACCTTAGATCAATGCTCGTAATCTGCATCCATTGAAGAGGAGGAGCGAGTTAGATATCGTATCGCTTTGTCGGGACCACCCGAGGGCAAATTCTGGTGTAGTGGGGAAGGAGATGTCATCCATCATTACATACATACATACATACATACATACATACATACATACATACATAGGTGACACAATGATAACTGGGAGTCAGAAATATTCAGCAGGTATGTACCTATATCACACAGACACAGTTGAACCCAAGTTCGCATATTCGGCAACGGCCATCGCCTAGATAGGCAGTAAGTCCGATGCTTATGGTGGTCATCGATTTGACGCGGGCAGCAAGCGAGGGTAGCCACGTCTTTGGATGTTCTTAAAGTACATTAGCCTAACGTGGATATATTCTATTTATTATGGCATCAATCCGACAAGAGTATGAGGCCGTAAACTTTTCTCAGTTGGACATGACACGTTCTGCGCTAAAGATCCTTTTATACTTATTCGTGTGCTTTAATCTGGACTGTTTTGTATGAGGATAGGAATGGCAGGCGAACTATACCAATGGCGTATCCTAGACAGTTGTCCATTAAGCGACTCGTTATCCCCTTTAACTTATAACTAGACCTAGAAGTCAATTCTTATTGATTATCCTCAGTGCCTACTCGGTTAAGTAATAGTTATAAGTCTTGATAACGTGTTACCTACGAAGCACGTCTACCGAATTCGTAGATAGCAATGCGCCTAAATAGAATCCAGCTAACCTCCGACGAAGGAATCCAGATCGCTACATACCACCGCTCCAGATACACGTATCTAATATATGTATCATATCGTTATGGCTAGAGCGACGAGAGCCATAAGCCTACGATGAGTCGATAGTGTTGCAGTGTTACGACGATGTAGAGTATGTCGCACGTAGGAGCATAAACGGCGAGTTAGGAATGTAAACCTCAAAGTCGTGGCCGGCATACTCGGGTAATATATTTGTAAAATCTCGCAAGTCGAAACGAGGTCGTCGCAACCACCAACTACGCCCAATCGCATCAGGTAAGCCATTTGGTACAGAATGCTGACCATATTCGCGTTCTGGTGTGCATGAAAACCCCAGGTCTTGTCAGAAAAAGCGCGGCCTTGGGAGTTCTCACCCTATTAATGAGAGCTGCCGCGTCATCATGAGTGCTCGATGCAACGTTTTTATAACAAGGAAAAAAAAGTAGATATTATGACGCGAGAAGAGTCGAGTCGACAATTAGATTTAGCGGTCAGTTCTTCCAAGTCCAAATCCAAATCCAAATCCGAATCCAGGTGGCCGGGCCTGGCTAGGTTATGCGGCTCTGCATCTTATTTATGAAAATGTAAATCAATTAGGAAAATCTCAGTTAGGTAGTTAGCCGATGAGTTGAATCTAATTCCGTTTAAAAGATGTTTCAGCAGAAATCGACGCCCGGGCCGAACCTAGGGATGATATTTCAAGTTTCAGAAACACTCCCACTTACATACCTGATAATGTACCTATGTAATGTATGATCCCCAAGATCACCTCACCGAAAGAGTCAAACATATCCTTTCATACATACGACACGGCGTTTCTAAGCGAAGACCTATACCTACCTGATTAATCTATGTATAGCTTATAAAATTAGAACATGTGATGAGCCGCAACCGCCTGCAAGCCGAGACCGCCTTAGCCGAATCCTACAGGCTGTAATTGCTGTAAATATGTTTTTGTTTCTCGTGTGTTCGCCTTGGCGGTACATCTTATTTGATATGAATACGCGATACCCAGAGATAATCAACGTCATCCTATTATGCCTGCTCATAAATCGCCACTTTCATTTCTTGTGACCCTACTATTTACTGGATACTACCTACTATCGCTGCAGCGTAGTGCTGATCGAAGTCCACTTCGATTGTTCTTCGATGTGACATAGACATCTGATACGACATTTTCGGAACAGCTCAAGTTCCCGGGGCAGAAAAATCCGGGCCTCGGCGTCCTGGGCGTCTCAATTCGAGCTTAGCTGCAATTAAATCAACAGGTTCTAACGTGGGTAATTATTCCTTTTTCGTAGATTCTAATATACCCAGAAGGTAGCAGGATCAATGGTTGTGTTCTGATGTACGGGTTAGTCGTTACTAAACTGTTTAGTGTAGATCTCGAAATAGGGGCTTTATTAATATACTTCATACTACATCGTAGAACGCTTAGGAGAGATTGAAGCCGCGTCAGCATTCAAACCGGAATATTAGGCTAGCAATTAAAGGATTCCATTTGAGGAATGTTGTCCGCCGCGATTAGCAATGGTCTTTCGCACCAATTTCGAGGATAAGGTCTCGCCCTTTGTCAAATGTAGCCGCTATCATTTTCTTTAATGACTCGCTACTTGGGGTGTTTTGCGGAGTCGCTACACGTGGATATTACCGATCATTGCAATAATGTAATGATAGCCCGTCTGAATTTTGGTTGGCGCCCGCATTGTTATGTCGCCGCATTGACAAATGATGCCAAGGCCACTAGTAAGGTCGGTGAAGGCTTATGTTTCCGTTATTAGTTAAGCAAGGAGCAGGATTTCGTTCGGTTAGCGGTTAGCGGTTAGCGGTTAGCGGTTAGCGGTTAGCAGTTAGCAAAGTTGTTATTTTCTTCCATTCCCTTCAAAGTCTGAAAGCATGGGATCCAAACGTGAAACAACTCGGTATCCAAAATGAAGAAGATCTTAGGTAGACAGATAGGCTTGAATCAACAACAGTCCGGTAAAATAAAAAATAGAAGAGAAATCATAATATAGACATGCCTATATGGGACTAGGAGAGGAAGTTCGCTATGCCGATCAGCAAAGGATGTTGGTGTGTTTGCAGCCTTATTGGCTGCAAGGTGATGCTGGCAAACTGCGGCAGGTGGTAAAAACAAAATCGTGATCTTCCCTAACCCCTCCAACCACGGCAAGTCGGCTGGGAGACGAGATCGCGGCCTGATACCGGATGTGCTGCTTTGTGTTTTTTCGAAAACGGGGATTACTGGAAACCAGGAATTCAAAAAGTCTTGGCTATAACACGAGCCATAACACGACCTAGGTCGAATTTGATAGAGCAGAGGCGGCTGATACCACGGCACAAAAAATCCGAACGGGAAGGGTGACACAAGCGCACGTCAGACTCATTGTCGTCAGGCCGCATAGGGAAAAAGAAGAAGACTGTCAGACTGTCAAGACTGTTAGATGCAACTCATGGTATTAGACAAGGCATTGGAAACGTGTGGCGCGGGTTTGCACCTCTTAGAGTAGGATTGGGAATGAGACAATACATTCACATCCCATGTAATCAACGGCGTTCTCAAGCGTTTTCAACATGTGGGACAAGTATAGAATAAGAAAGCCAAGAACTGTTTAGTTACACTGCCAAGTCTCTTGGAAGAGGCACTTGACAAGTAGTAAGAAAGGCCAAGACTCTTGTTGATGCCGATTATCCGGGGCAGTGGTAATAGCAAAAGAAGCTTTTTCATGTATGTAACTAGGTGAACATCCAATATCTTAACGTTGGAGGGTTTCAAGTTATCGCATCAAAGCTTACAAGTTTAGCCGCGTGTAGGGAGGGAAAGTTGTAAGTAAAATGAAGCAGAAAAGTCGTAATTGATTATGCAGCTCTTAAAAGGTGTACTATGTGGTACCTAGTGTAATGTACTTTAGTACATACCTGTTCGAGTTATTATTAGTCTAACTAGGTACATTTTGTCTAGTGTATGTACATATGTATGTAGGTATTCATTCGAGAACAGAGCTTCCTTGTCCAATCATTAGGTCGGCACCCCTCCATTTTGTGCTAGGTTAGGTACCTACTTACCAAGAGGTACCTAATGTTATGTACCTTCTTAGAAAAGGAAAGCCGAGGGATTCCTAGCATCGGGTACCACCTCTACTATGGTATTAGGCAAAAGTAAAACGACACTGTCAGGTACCGCCAAAAAAGGTTAGATGAGCTACCATACTAAATTAGTACTAGTCTATTACTGTATATACACTATAAATATACCTTAAATTATAATTAATAAATAAAAAAGCAATAATACAAGCCACTTTTTAGCGCGCGACTTGTAACCGAGGTTTTATTTACCCATCATACCATAGTACACACATATATGTACATATGTACACCTACAGCATTAAAGCCCCCCACTACATTACAGTCAATCTACACTAAACGTTGCCGCATTTAGGTACCTAAGCTTTAGGGGCTTTAGGTAGCCAGGATATATCCTTTGTTTGGCCACTTAGGGCAGCTGAATCATCCTGTAATGTGCCTACCTACAGATGTTAGTTTATATAGTGGTTACATTAAGTTATGCTAGAAGGTACTTTGCCAGTTTACCAACAGACGATGAATACGTACATGTATGTATGTAAAGAGAAAAACCAAACGCATAAGGGGAATCTACGAAACCACAAAACCAGCAACTACGTAACCCGACCCACCTGATTTAGCCCCCATTTCGTCACTTCCCCTGCCAATGTACATACACTATGTAAGGTACCTAGCTGTGCAAGTACCTAGCTGATGTACCTGGTCAAAAAGAGGCTGAATCGGTAGAGTTCCAGTTGGCCCAAAAGCCAGTCACGCACTTAAGCCGCTCCAAACAGAACCTTAGAAGCGTCTTTCCCTCCTTCTCCAATTCTCGCCAAGCCGCCGTCTACCTTGATTATATGGGGGGGATCCATACATCGATCAATCACATCGATCCTGTTTGCCAAGTCTCAATCGTCCGCCCCTTATTATATCTTCCCTCTTAAAAATCCTCCAACTTCCCTTTTATCTCTTCCTTCTTTGCGCCTCTTGCCGTATCTTTAAGTGTGTGGGAACTAACCTCTAATCCTGTCCTTCTTGTTCTTTCTTTTTTTTTATCACGCATTTAATCCATCCGCCCTGTTTAACCTGTAAAAAGGAATTATCTAACTGAGTGGTCGTGTATGCATATATCTATATGCTTGCGCATGGGCGAATAATATCAATCTAATATTATTCCTACTTATTGAGACGACTACCCTACGAGCTTATCATTAAAACATCCATCTCTAGGTCGCGTGCGTTGTCGCCACCTACATACTCGTTAATCAGCCTCTCCAGGACCAGGACGCATATTAGTGAATATAGTCCCGCTTTTCTCTGTGCTGCGCGCGTCCGGAAAACACAACAGACTCGAGTCCTAACATTCCAGCTTCGCTCGTTCTCCTCGTTCAACCCCTTACTTAACTAGGTGGTGCAACTGGGCGGTGCATTCTCTGTTCTCTGGCTACACCAACTCCAAACCAAGTCCCTTCTATCAAGGCATGACAGCGAAGTAATCATAGCAACTTTGCGATTCCGCGACGACTCGTCATAATGGCTATTGGTAGAGAAGGAAACGTCAAATGGGTCGATGTAAGTTAACCAGTTTATTTACGTTGTGGGTGGGAACGCGACCGGCGACAAGAATGGATCTCGATCGAACATGGCTTCAAAATTTTAAAAAATCATAAAATCAAGAACTCGAACCTTCAAGGTCGCGATAAAGTTTTGGAACTTTGGCTGAAAAGAGGCATCGGCTACATGAAGACGGAATCTTCGGGTGGTGGATATCGCGCCGAATCAGAATCATGGTTTAAACTAAGCAGGGAATGAGATGGAAAAGGCAAACCCTAACACTTCAGCCGTTCTTTGTAGCTAACAGTATCGTCCGTTTATAGGGTCTTCGAGGCTTCGCATCCACTCTAGTGGTCTTGACTCATATCGCTAGAGCTTTCGACGGCGACCTTTTTCTTCCAGCTACTCATAACGGCTCAGCACCACGGCCTCTGCAACTGCCTTTCCTACGAATTCTAGTTCAGGGCCGTATCGGTGTCACTATTTTCGCTTTTGTTACTGGCTATGTCTGTGCTCTTAAGCCTATCAAACTGTACCGACAGAACAACCAAGATGCCGCCTTCACATCTATCGCCAAGTCTGCCCTCCGCCGTGTTCCCCGATTGGTTATACCCTGTGGTCTCGCGACCGTCATCATTTGGATAATGGCGAATCTAGGAATGTTTTTGGTCGCAAAGCAGAGTGATTGTTGGTGGTGTGGTAAGACCGCACCCGATCGCCAAGCGAACATATTCCTGTCGGTTAAACACTTGATTGAGAACATCATTTCAACTTGGACAAGAGGCCGAAACGCGTATGATGGCAATCAGTGGACATTGTTACCATTGCTGAAGGGAAGCATGGAAGTTTATACCTTTATCGTTGCCACGGCCTATATTCGACCTCAGTTCAGGATGGTCTTGAGTTTGATGATGTATGCCTATTTCTGGATGGCATCCGACTGTACGTTCTTGGTTCTCAGACTTCTCAGACTTTTTGCTTCAAAGCTAATTACATCGCAGCGGCTTTTGGGATGCAGTTCTTCTGGGGTGTATTCCTCTGTGACTTGCAAAATCACCCTCCTGCCACCGAATGGCTTGCTCGTCGACCAAAAGTCTCGCAGGTCTTGGCTGCGATCTTCTTGTTTCTAGGTCTCTACGTCGCCTCGTATCCTGAAGGACATCCAGAATGGGCGGCCTGGTCACGCTACCAATTCGAGGTTTTGAAGCGCATTCTTCCCAAGGACCCCGATTACCCTCGATTCGCTTCCGGAATTGGCTTAGAATTGATTACCTTGGGTTTACATTTCAGCCCAGCTCTACGTGATATCATGTCAAGCAAATATTTGCTCTGGTTTGGCAAGCAGTCTTTCGCCGTTTATCTTTTACACGGTCCTCTCCTTCGCAGTGTTCTTTGCTGGATGGTTTATGGAATCCACGTGCCCCCGCCCATCACCAACGACAAGGGTGAAATAATTCACGGCACGCTCATGTTCCCCAGCGGGTGGCGTCTCGTGGTCGCCCTACCATTTTGGATCCCTCTAAACTACGGTGCCGCGATGCTTTGGACAGGCTATGTCGACCCTTGGTGTGCGACTCTGACTGAGAAGATTGTGGGCAAAGTTATGTTGGCACGCGACGAGAAGGGTGCTCTCTTACCGCAATAGATACGTGGTATTGATCATCCCGAGAAACATGATTATTGCGACAGCTCTAGACGGCCAAGACCATAAATGGGATGTCGGAGAGGCAATGCCATGAGCAATGCCATTCAATAATTCCCGGCTCGCAAACTGACATTTACATTGGAGGGTGCATTTGCCAGAACCGACAATGGTCAATGCTTTTCACCAAATCCTTATTAAGAACTCTTTCGTGTGAATATGGTAGCTCTTTCTTTTCTACAATGGGTGTTGGAGTTTTTGGAGTACAAGAGGTTTGGCCATGGGATTGCATTCATCATTGGCCAAGGGGCATCGGGGCATCAGGGGCATTTGACAGCCGAAGAGCATCATCGTACATACGCCCGGGGCGTCGTTATTAATTTCTACAGAGACGGCCGCAATATTGGCATGCATCAGGAGGTAGATAGTCAGCGATGTTTTTGACTGGCCAGTAACGGTTGATACCCATGATGATGAAAACAACCGAACTTAGATAAAGATGTCACGACGATGCCGTGTGCATCGCTCAGTATACAGACTAATTCAGATAAAATTATATCTGCTTTACGATTTGATGGCGGTGATTCCCTGTTGTAGATCATGTGGTCGGATATGTAGAGATCTTGGTGATCTTTCCCGTCTTATGTTCATCATTTACGTGTAAGGTACTTGAAAACTTGATCCATAAAAGTAATTTTACTTCCCTGTCAGTTTTGATGTTAAGTCCGCTCTGCCAAGTACTCAATACCGTATACGCATTTTCCCGCAACTTGAAAATACCCATAGAAAGGGACAATTGGTGGTTCGTTAAACCAACGACGTCGTATAATACTTGGAGTCGATAAACGAGATAGGCTATTAAGTACCGATAAGATCGGCGCAACTTGTTGTGTCGTATTTCTTGCATGTGATCAAACCATGGTTTGCCGTATCCAGGTCATCGGGCCCCCATGCAGTGAGAATTTAGAAACCTGCCTAAACGGGAAGTGTGGATGCAGCATACAACCTTCTTTGCTGTCGTTTAGAGCCCTACGTTGATTAATGAAGAGGCTTAGTAAGTAGTATATGGGTTAGGTAGGTAGATAGTTACCTATAAACATTAATATCGTGGGTATATAACTCATATATACTTGTATATATCGTATATTAGATTTTAAAGATACGTAAGTAAAAGTAGAAATCCCTTGAGTTTCGACATTTCGGTTTGCGTGTAGGGACCGTTCAGGGAATATTTGGAAGTTCAAATAAGCAATTAACAGCGGAATAAGTTCCAGTGAAGTTAAGGTTACCTTCAAATGTAACATATTTACGCCTATTTGCTACCATCGTATTACGTCCTTAATATGCATTTGTAACACTTGGGTGCGACGTTATCATCTTAGTCTAAAGATCCACTTGTTGTACAGTTAACAGAACAGGTTGGAGTTTCAATTCCAAATAGCAAACTCGGAGTTAACGAGTCTTGTCTGTGTGGTCACTTTTCTTTGATAGAGAGTTTATAAGAGGTTAAGTAAAACACCACAGCTGAAGCATCAACGGCTACGTTCTCTCCCGACTCAAGAGGAGGTGGTGTAACCAGCATTTCTAAACAGGTTGACGTATAATCTTATTTTAGACATAGCATACACCGGTCTAAGGATGTCCAAAGGCAAGCTTACATAGGTTAGATAGAGAGCCGGAGGAAATTCGGTTAATTACAGACCTTATGCATAGTTCTTACACGAGGTACAGAGCGAAACTACCTATCAATCCTCTCTAAGCTATATATTATACAAACACACTTAGTCCCCAGGTTATCCCGTGGTTCAGTATCCCGTGATGTTAACACAATGATTCTCTAGATACAGTCACAAATCAAACCCATTGCGTTGGCCATAACTATCAAAAGATGAGGGTTAGGGCCAGTTAGGTAACGAAGATGACTTATTAAATGATAGCCTAATGCTAGCTAGCTGATGAATTGGTATATATAGGGCAACAAATTGCCGGTAGTTTTAAAGAGGAGTAAGCGTCAATGAATTTCTTCCATATATCATATACATTATTATCTTACCAATTAGCGCAGGTGCATATTTACGCTATATGACACATCGTATTAAGAGGTATCTTCGACAATGACTCATAGTGTTAGAGATATCCTTTGATTGATGCCATACGTAGAGTGAATGTTAGAAGCAGCAGCGAAGCTGTTGTATAGTAGCCGTATAGTAGTATGAATTTATTAACGCTTGACCTCCTATCCTCTTTTGAGGGCGCGCAGCGCCCCCTATATCTATTCTACATAGATCTATACCTAATTCATACTAACTTCGCTTGTCCCCTGACATATAGTGAGAGTAAATAATCGTATAGATTTATCGATCAGATGTGACTGACGGCTTGGGCTTATCAAAAATAACATTTCATATCCTTAAGGTTCGATGTATTACCTAGGTATAAACCCTTGTTCTTCTGTTTTTATCTTGCCTCATCCTTGAGAGCTTGCGTCGTCTTATAGGAAATCGAATTATCTGAGTCCTGGAGATAAGGTCACTTTTGCGTTAGAACATAAGGACGGCTCTATTTGAATAACCTACCTACCGAATGCTAGGGTTCTATGTAAAACACACGGAATTTACTATTCAAATAAGTGTTGTTAGGATTCTAATTGAAACATTTACAAGTATACTTTGAGTATGCATAGCCCAAAGCTCTTACGGAACAACGAAGTTTCTTTTATGCTTCTTGCTCTACTTCGTGATAGGTATATGCCCGCCCTAAAAGTCATCGTAAGTGTGTAAAGGGCTGATAACTTCTAAGTATATTTAGTACGTAAGCTACATAATACTAAATGCACGGGGCAATATGAGGTGCTTTTCTGTTTTACTCGTTTGTGGACAAATCGGTATCTTCAAACTCCGGTAATACACGATCCTTCCATGGTTCTGTCTAGACTAAATAATGCCAAAAGTGTCTCCGTTGACTTATATCAAGATCACGTCTTCCCAGGATACGTCGCGCAAATGCGATAGCTTATAAGATAAGTAGAACCTACCGACACCATCTCCGCACAAGCAAAATATTCGGTGTAGTATCTTGTGTCAGACTTAAACATCTGTAAGTCGGCTGAAGCAAGATAAGAGATGCGCCGAAGCGGGCTGCTCAGCAAAATACTGGTGCCAGTTATATTTTAAATCTAAGCACTGTATAGACCGTGGTTTGCATCAGCTATATGGAATGAGATGATTGGAGTACTACTATCACATCTCCTTAATCTACGAAGGATATCCTTTCTATCCAGAGTACCTATATTCCTAATCTCGAAAAGTGCAATATCTGTTCTGGTACGTTATGCAACAGGGATTGGCGAGAAACTACTGGGGAAGATGGACGCGAAAATAAACCACGAATTACTAGCATTGCATGAGACTATGCAGACAACATTGAAAAGGTAAGCCAAATAAATTTGCTTGGGTCATGTGTCTGGGATTCAGCCGTATACTTGCACGAAGAGTTGCCATAAGAAGGATTCATAAACAATATTGAATGAATATTGTGCATTTTGAAAATCTATTCGTTTGCACCCGACTCTCGTGAAACCCCATGATTGGGCAAACACAATACTGCAACCCAAGTCATAGGACTGACGGATAAGTATCTCGGAAGTCATTTCCGTATGCAACTGCGTTTTGCAGCTTTCATCCCCATTCTCACCAATTGGCAGTTTACCGTAATACTAGATTACGAATAATGATACTAGAATGAAACATAAAGGACCATGGTCATATGCAAGCGACATTACATACCCGATAATTAACAGCTGGATAATTAATGGCTAAGAATTGCTTTTTGTTTCCCTTCGCCACTAGAGCTGAGTTTGGCAACCTATGATTGGCGTAGCCCTTATTTTCGAGTTTCGAGCCGTAAGAATCATCCTCGTCTTTTCACCAGGGATTAAAGGGGGTGAATTAATAAGCAATATAGCTCGCATGACACTGTGGTTAAAAACAGTCGTTTGGATAAGGGGAAGGACACCTATCCGACCTACCGCGCATACTATCTGAGGTGGTTTGTATGGTTTGTATGCAATATGATCAATACGATTTAGTGCGGAGGCCTCTAGATATCTGCCGTGAGATTTTAACATGGTAACTGGCTACCTGGGAGCTGTTCCCCGGTCTGCGGTCTGCGGTCTGCGAGGAGTTGTTGTTCGGTGTTACACAAGGCGGCATTGACTGTCGCCTGCGAGAGGCGTCAGCTTTGATTCCTCGAGCCAAAACAGACGTTAACCGTGACCTTATAATTGGACCATCGACTTATGATATTGCGGACCTCACGTCAGCATTCGTGGAAGAATCAAGGAATATGCGTGACGTGAGACGAACTATCCGGGGACTTTCCCTCGGGAGCTGTCCTATGCCCGCCATACGTCTAATCCTACGATACCAGGATCGTCAGATCATGCTGTGCTCGCTTGTCCCCGGACGGACCGTCAGCCCCAGTCCCAACAGGATGGGTCCCGAATCCCGACTCCAAGATATGACAGTGGGATATGCACACCGGGGATAGCTATCATCGTCGACGTAACCCTCCAATGGATTTCTACCCAAACGGATATCTCGTTAGTGGGGAACGGTCCGAAAGACAAGACAGAAAAAGTAAGCACCTAACTTCATTACTCTAATTGCATAGGTACCTACTCATATAGATGTAGTTGGGTGCAATGTGATGCAATGACTGCGCAAGGAGGCTGTACCTACTATACTTGAGGCTTAGTACCTTAGGTACTGAAAGGAAAAGGCGAAAAGAGACAAGGAAAGAAGAAGAAGAAAGGAAGAAAAGAAAAATAAAAGATGCCTGACTACCCAATTAGGTTACATGCAATTACTCGTTTAGGAAATTACATGTATCTAAGTATTTTTGGCCAAAACTAGTGTAAGACTTAGCTCGTGCAAGTAATTCGCGTAAATTTTGTGTAACGAAAAGGTACGGGCCACCTGGCAATTGAACAAGCCTAGAAACAAAAGCAGTCGAGTCTAGAAGCAGAAGCGGCAGGGGGTTTATTGAATACGGAAGCAGCGGATGACTTCCAATCCACTCGATCTACGACAACGAACTTGCCTATTATTATT